TTGATAAAGCTCGTTATCTTTTTCATCTACCACAAGTACAATAATGCTTTTTGGGTCAGTTTTAGCTCTGTCAATGTCAGGTACTTTCAGTCTTACATTTTGGCCAACTTTCACATTTGGATATTTATTTCTTACGTTGTATTCATTTTTTCAGCTTGGTTTTCCAAATTGAATTTTGCATTTTTTCTTATTGCCAGTATAGATACTTTATTCTGCGATATTGGTTATACTCTTATTATAACTTTTCAGTTATAAAAATTTCTTGAGATTGAGTTGCATTTTCTCTCTCTAAATCAGTATGCAGTATGTCAGTATTCGTCTTTTCGTTAATAATCATTTCGTCTTCTTGTGTTTACTCTTCAGTGTTTCTGTTTATGTCCTTTTCAGTATTATCATCCTTATTCTGTTCAATGACATTTTCGACGTTAATATTTTGTTCTGTATTTGTTGCGAATGCAATACATTCTTTAAATCTTCTCCAGATTTTACTAGTTCAAGCATGTCTCTAGGTATTGCTGACGTTGTAATTCCCATTTTCATGGGACTACCAAACATTGCTTCATAGGAGGAACATTTTATTCCCTCGTGATATGCTCTATTTTTCATTGCCTGGATGAATTTCAAACCCTCTGACCACTTTGGTAACTGGTTTGTTTCCAGCCACGTGCTCAACATATTTTCGATATCTTAATTGGTCCGCTCTACTGATCCTTGATTCTGACTGTATCTGAGCTTCCCATGTACTATTTCAACGTTCGGCCACATAGAGCATAAACTTGGTTACAAAATTCTCAACGATTCGGATGAATGAAGGATGTTCGGAGCTCCAAAAGTGGTAAAAAATATCCAAAAGATGGTATGCAACTTCTGCTGCGCGTTTAGATTGAAGTGCACGAAGAATCACTAATTTAGTGAGATGGTCTTGGTAAACTAAAATGAATTTATAATTTCCATTAGACTTAGTTTATAGATTTATTATATCTACTTGACAACGTGACTTTATTTCACTGTGCAGTATAAGTTTGACGACAATGCCCTTTTTCAAAGTATATTGCTTTTTTTTGACAAAGTTGGCATAGCTTCAAATATGTCATAATAGTCATTAAGCATCCTTGTCCTTCCACCGTGTCTAACCACAACATGCAATTCTTCGAGAATGTTGAATAAATCGTCTTCATCGGCGCAATTAAATTTTCCTCGTCGCCTAGTCAAAATAATAATTAATAATCATAACGCTTTAATCGCCTATAATGAACGGCTTTCTTCCTTTTCACGTTCTTTACAGTTTTTACTTCTTCTAAACACTTTGCTTATTTGTCCTTGTCGATATAAAAATTATTATCCTTCTTGTTTGCTAAAAGCTCGTCCATTATTTCATAAAATCTCTTTGTTACACTCATTTTGATTGATAAGTTACTTTCAGACAGTGCAGACACTCACATATATCGAATTAATATCACTTTTGATTCATAAATTACTTTCGGACATCAAAAACAAACAGAAATCAAAACAAACGTGTGAAACGGTCGATTGAGATGAGTGGGGACGGTGAAGGGAGGTGGTATGAGTAACGGAGGCTGCAGACTGTAGACGAATACGACGAGTACGAGAACATGCACCGAACATGTCTATATGTGTCTATTTTTCGACATTTACCATGTCTCTGCGGTAAAACCTAAGATTTACCGAGTGGATGGTGGTAAAAGTTCGAAATGAACGATGAGCACAGAACATTTCGGATTTTTACCATTCAGAGTTGGTAAATGGTAGGTTTCACTGGAAAATCTTAGGATTTACCGTAGTTCGGGCTTTTAAAGTATTGTTTTATATACGCTTATTTTAGATGCTGCTGACACCTTTCATTTTAAAGAATTGCTTGCGGTCGCTGATTTCAGTTTGCTGTATCTAATTACATAATTAGATACATTCATTAGATACATATCTACCATCTAATTTACGTTAATTTTTTCGTCATGTTTTAATATTATTATTACTTCTGTTTTTTCCCTATTTATCTTCATCCGTTTCATATTGAATATATTACTCCAATAGGTTCCAAGATTTATTATTCCAAGGCTTCGTTACTATCCCTCGTTATTAGCGAAAGCGCATTCAGAAATTTTTACCAGCATCAGACCTCTATAGCTGACAAATCATGGTTTGCTAATCTCGTGTGCCTCTTTAATAATTTCATCCATAAATATTATGATTAGTAGTGGGCTAAGGTACCCTTCCTGTCTCACTCCTTTATTAGTACCAAATTCTTCTGATATTTGGTTGTTGCTTATAAGAACACTTGATTGCGAATTGTATTATACATTTTGGTTATCATTCTTACAGGTTTTAGGTCTTCAAGCCGTCTTCTCAGGCATGCCCACAGTTTTTTGTTGGTACGCTGTTAAAAACTTTCTCCATATCCATAAAAGCTAAATATATCTTCTTCGTCCTTAATATTCAACTGATTATTTCTTACTTAAATACATGATCTTGAGTACTTCTACCAATTCGGACATGATGTACGACTCTAACAGTTGCGGTTCTAGAAATATTCTCAGCCTCCTTTCCACGACATTTTCAAATATCTTTCGTCCAATATTTAATAGAGAAACTCCACGGTAGTTACTGCAATTACTTGTGGTATTCTTTCTTCTCTCTAGATTTTATGACAAATCCTCAGTGCTTCCTAATAGTTATATAAAGTATCTTCTTCACCCTGTTTTACCACCCCTCATTTTATTTGAGTACTTCCATGTTTCGTTCCCTTGATTTTTTTTCGACCTATTCTTCACTCTCATTTCTCTCTTTTATGTGTAAAAGAAATTTCTTCGTACTATTTCATTCTCTCGATATTTTCGTCATCATCTTATTTTTCTTGTAACATTCATTCTTGTATCATCCTCTTTACAGTTTTGCGTTTTCTTCCATTCTCTTAATCTCATTCTTTCTGCTCTGCCAGTATTGATCAATCAACAGTTATACTGTTCCTTGTCTCTTTTGCCCAGAATTTCTTATCACGGGTTTGTGATTTATCTTGCTTGTCTGCTACTATATTTCCTGCCTTTTCTTCTTTCTTTGTCTCTATCTTTCTCTAGACCATTGGGTCTTTTTTCATGATAAGGACTGCCTCTGAAATATCTCCTGAAATGTTGACTGCCATCTCTTTGGAAGTCTGACTAGTGATCTGGTTCTAGGTGAGCTATTTTGTAAGCACAATTTTGGACAGTCTGTTCTGATCTGGCATTCTACGGGCGTGGTTTACCAAAATCTCTTAAGCTGTCTTCTTCATCTCATAATGTTCTGAATCCTGCGTTAGTATCTAATGTCGGGATTCTTAATGCTGCTCCATCTGGTCTTCCCTGAGATTGTCCTCAGGGTCATTTCTGCTACTCTCTTAACATTGTTTTAGTTTTGTTTGGGTTTTCGCGTATTTTAATTACGCGAAGTAAGTCATATTTAAGCATAAGTCATTATTTGACGGCATTTCTTGTATATCTGCGCTTCACTATTCATTCACATGAATATATTTGACCACACAGTATATTATAGGCAGTCTGAAATTACGTACGCTTTGTCAGTCTGACTTCTCAGGCCTTTTTCCGGATCTTGACTGCTTGAGATATGCACATCCAAATAGAAAAATTCTATAACTTTAGCTAAATTTACATCTTTTGTTGGCTCACGTACCACCACCATTCATTTTTTGAAGTAAAAACAGCCAAGTTCTCGGCTTCGCTCCTTTGATAGAACCTATGTAGTTGTTTTGCAGGTTATTCTCTGAGTTGGTGACTCTCGCAGCATCATCAGTGTAGCATGTTATGCAGATTTTCTTGGGGTCTATTTTATATCCTAGATGTAAAGATATAATTTCCTCGATTATTTTGTCTATTAATAAGTTGAGCAAAAATGGGCTGTGACTGTCGCCTTGTCGGATGCTACCTGGTCTCTGGATGTCATTAGCTTTAGCCTTATGATGTCAACTGGTGCATGTCTTTGTATCAGCACATTCAGTACGTCTCAGAATCACACTCTGTCAAATGCTTTGGGCAAATCGACAAAACATATTTTTATATGCAGAGTATTGAACTCAATCGATTTTTCTTTTAATTGTTTTATAACGAATGCAGCGTCTGTTACTGCGTGGCATTTTAAAAGCCTTTCTATTCTTCGGTGTTTGTACACTTGTTAAATACTTAATTCATGTGTTTGGAAAAGTTATTCCTCTGTAACTTTTAGGCAAGTTTTTCGTCTATTTTGAATATGGGGATTGTTACGCTGTCAGTTCTGTTCTTTCATATTTGAGTAACTCATTAGGTATATTGCCGCTTCCGCGAGGTTTCCTATTTTTCAGTTTTCCAAGTTATTCTTTGACTCCTTCTATCTGAGCAATAGTTCTTGCGCATACAAGTTCATAACGTGTGTTGCCTCTTCGGTAGAGTATACTTGCTACTCTGCAGTCTCCTAAGTAGATACATTTTTAAATGATCTGCCGGGTTGTCTCCACATTCGGTTCCATCTAAAGTTTGATGTTGTTTAACTTAGTTTTTGTTCTGTTTCCGTATAGATGCTTTCTGCTGTCGGATATGAATGATTGAAGATTATATTTTGCAATGAATTTGGGTGGTTGTATGATTGACCGTGGCCGTTCTAATAAGATTTTGCATAAGACAAGGTTATGATCAGTTCTTATGTTGGCGATGAAAATATTACTACATTTGTTATTATGTAGTCTGCCATTGATCTATAGGTTCTACTCATGTTAAAGGTACATTTGTGTTATTCTTTACGTGGGAAGTATGTGTTATTAGTTCGTTTCTAGAGCAGAAGTCTATTAGTAGCTCTCCGTTTTTATTGAGTATTCCATTAAAATTTTCTGCCAGTTTGCTTTAAGACTTTCATCACTATCTTGGCCCAGTCACGTAGATTGTAGATTCTGAAATTCTGAAACCACCTTATAACTTTTTTTTCCTAACCTCATTTATCTATTTTATTAATTATTGCAGGAATTTCACGTAGCATACATTTTTATAAAAATGGGAATATCACCACGTCCTGGTTTATGGATATTGGAAAAATCTACAGATTATGGTAAATCGTTCACACCCTGGCAATACTTTTCTGACTCAGCTGCCGACTGTGAATTATTTTTCGGCAAAGAATCTTTAGAAGGCATAAAATCAGACGATTCAGTAATATGTTCTACAGACCACTCGAAAATTGTACCATTAGAAGGAGGAGAGGTAAAGTTTATGTTTATTAGTAAAAATCGATTAAAAATTACTGGATTGATTTAATTTAGATTCCTATCATGTTACTAAATAATCGACCATCCGCAAATCATTACTTTAACTCAAGTGTACTGCAAGAATGGACTCGCGCCACTAATGTACGGTTTCGATTTTTAAGAACAAAAAATTTATTGGGACATTTAATGTCTGTTGCAAGACAAGACACTTCAGTAACAAGAAGAGTAAGTTTGAATAGAATTTTTTAAACGTTTCTTATTTTCTTTTTTTAAGTATTTCTATTCGATAAAAGATATTAGCATTGGTGGTAGATGTATGTGTAATGGTCACGCAGACTCTTGTGACGTCCAAAATTCAGCAGTACCAAACATTTTACAATGTTCATGTCAACATAATACCTGCGGTGCTAAATGTGAACGTTGTTGTCCCGGATTTGAACAAAAAGCTTGGCGAATATCGAAAGCTTCTCAACCCTTCTTTTGTGAACGTATATAAAACATATTTTAAGATTTCAAGTTTTGCTTATGTTATTAATGCATTTTTTAGCTTGTAACTGTTTCCAACACAGCAATGAATGCTTGTACGATCCTGAAATCGACGCTAAACGTTTATCATTAGACATACATGGAAATTATGAAGGTGGTGGTGTTTGTAAAAATTGTCAACACAATACAGAAGGAATTAATTGCAATAAATGCATGCCAACGTTTTATAGACCATACGAGAAACATTGGAATGAAACGGATGTTTGTCAACGTAAATACTTTAAAATTTATTTTTTTCTTTTATTAATCAATTTTTATAGCTTGTAATTGCGATCCATTTTTCTCAACTGGTAATTGTGAGGAAGGTTCGGGCCGATGTGAATGTAGAAAAGAATTTTTGGAACCACACTGTGATGACTGCAGTTTTGGCTATTACGGTTATCCCAATTGCAAAGCTTGTGAGTGTTTCTTAAATGGAACACTCGAATTGCAGTGTGAGCGAGAAAATGGAATGTGTACGTGTAGAAATAACTTTAATGGAACTTTCTGTAAGGAATGTGCTGAAGAGTTTTATGGATTCCCAGAATGCAAGCGTAAGCATACGTTATATTTTAACTTATACGTATTTTTATTTATTTTGTTTTATTTGTTTCTATTTTAGCTTGCGAATGTGATGATTTGGGATCAGTTTCACAATCATGTAACCAAGAAACAGGATATTGTACATGCAAAAGCAACTATGGTGGAGAAAAATGCGATCAATGTCACAACGGATATTTTGATTATCCTTCATGTGAATGTAAGAGTTTATATTTTTTTTTTACTTTTAGGAGGAAAATACATTTAGAGGAGTAAAAACATTTTACTCATTCACTACTGTTTATTGATATACCTACCGCCCGCGGGCCAAATCCTTATTGGCATGCTTATTGTTGTTGTGATAAGTTGAATAAAAATCACAGAATGATAATAACTCGGTTGTAATAGTAATAAGATATATAATAGTGATTTTCCACCAACAATTATTGTGGACCAATCTCACTAATCACAATTATTAATGGTCATCAGTTAACTAAGATACACCAATAACATTATAACAATAAAAACGAGGAATAGAACGACAAAAAACGCCAGTAGCAGATGGTATAAGGCAGGGAGATAGTCTTAGCCTAATACTGTTTAACTTAGTGATAGACGAAATAATTAAAGAAGTTAAAGCCAAGGGCAAGGGATACTCATTGGGTCATCATTCAAAATCATATTCTATGCTGACAACGTTGTGCTTATTGCTGATGACGAGGACGATTTGCAGAAAACTTTAACATGATTATATCCGTACAGGAAACGGAATCCTTCACAATATCAAAAAAACCGAGATGCTGTAAGTTAGCTGTCTACTACCAAACCGTTAATCAGGTCATGACCTTTAAATACGTAAAAAGCCAGGTGACTAAGGCTACACTGATATCGGGATTCTCATCAAATATTTGTCAATTCAGCGCAAAATAGGAATGTACAAAACGTGTGTAAGATCTGTTATGACATATGCAGGAAGAAAAAGGCCCGAAACAGCAGCTACAAAGCCTCCTCCGAATAACCGAAATGAGAATACTTAATAACAGGCCATACCCTACGTGATCATAAGAGAAAAGAAGATATGAGAGAACAGTGCGAAGTGGAAGATGTAGTGAGATGAGTCAGAGCCAGAAGAAGAGTATGAGGACACCACGTGGATCGAATGACTGACGGTCAGATAGTCAAAATCATCAAAAAATCCAGACCAAACATGAAAGTTGGAAGTCAGCATCCCAGAAATGAGGCACCGTCGGAACTGAAAATCAGGACCATGTCCTCAATAAAGAGGAAGAAGAAGAAGGTTAACTTAGATCTGTAAACATTTTTCGTGTACTTCGTTTTGGAGAATGTTTTTTCACACAAGTAAGTAAGTAATATCAAAAGCAAAAAATAACCCAACTAAACGTATGCCAATTATCAATATAATAATAATAATAAACCACTTTATTGACTGCCATCAAGAAAAATAAATACAGAGTACGATAATATAACACCATCAGATTTAAACTTTATGCAGTCAAACGGCGAAGTCCAGATAACAGTTTCCAAAGATCCTGTTATCTATTCTACTCAAGCAGGAGTTGTACATATGTACTTATATACCAGTGGAAGACTTATAAAGTTCCAACAAAGATGTGTATTGATATTTGTTCTTAATTATTCGATTGCTTCAGTATGAGCCCACTCCTATTCAATCTGATTATGTACAGAATAATCCAAAGCGTCAACGAAATCAAGGGCGTATAAAAATCCTTGGATATCTCATGTTATCCATGCCCTTTTGATGACAAAAAAACGAGAAGAACTTGCAGCGAATGTTATACCGATTCTAAACCACAGCGAAATGACTAAACATGGAGATATCTGAGGAGAAGACTGAAGTCATATCGAAAGAGTAGTATCAGGTGTAAATTGGCAGTGAAGGATCGCTCCAAATTGACAAACCCGCTAGACTGTAGGTACCTTGGAGTTGATATCTTCAGCTGCAGAAATTTGCACCAAGAAGTTAGTGTTCAAGTCAATAAAGGCTCCACAATATCTGGATTTCTAAGAGCCATAATATTGATGAACAAATACATGTCCAAGGAGAGCAAAAACCGTCCGCATCTACTAAACGGTAACTGACATACGCATCGGAAGCTAGGGCGGATACATCAAAAACCAAGAGCATGCTAAGAGTTAGCGAAATGAGAACGCTAAGGACGATTAAAGAGATAACTGTGAGAGATCAGATAAGAAGTTTAGAAATGCAAGAGCGAAATGAGTCAAGAGTGAGAGATCAAATTCGGGGAAAACTGTCGGACGACCGTCGAAAAGGTGGTACGAATGCTGGACTGCACCAAGAGGTTTGATAGAGTAAAAAAGACAAGACATAGTCTTAAATAAAGAGGAAGTTCTTAATTATACCACTACAGGGTGTCTCAATTTCGTTGTCCGCATAGGCTATCTCGGAAACTAAAAGAGATAGAAAAAAAAATAGCTACATGTAAGCTATTTTAACCTAGTGTTCAAACTTTTAACCTTAATATCTAATCAATGGATCTCTCTAAGTCGGTTCGGCGTTTATCGTCAACCTTGCCCTGGGCCACTAATATTTCCAGATTTGTTTCGTCTCGTCGTACTACATGCCCAAAATGCTGGATAATTCTGCGTCGACATTTAGTTGATAATCGGACGCGGATCTAAAGCTCGCAAGAATGCACGCGTTTGTTGTTACTGAAGGACACTGCGAAGATGTTAATGACAAAAAAGAGCAAAGAGATAGTGAGAAAGACCACCAAAAGCTTAAATATTCTCAAAAGAGAGGAACAGAAGATATGCTTGTATCACCCTCTCTCCCCCACTCTTAAACCCTAGAAGTTAAACTCACCTTGATTTCGAAGCCTGCGTACCAATGATCGACTGAATTCGAAGTTTATTCGCGATGTCTTTTAGTTCTTGGACTACTTTAGCTTCTGGTTTATGATAGGCCATATTGAGGAATGTTGGTTTAATTGTTAATTGTAATAACGTGGAAAGGCGCTACTTCATGGGCTAAGGCAAAATTTGATCTAGTTTTTCATGGTCTGCGTGATGAAAGTAGGGATACACATGCGCGTTTGGTTAAACGTCTTAAGTAATAAGTGTTATAGCGATAGAGACGGTGCGTACGTTGGAATATTTGAAATATTTTCTCCTAGGAATGTTTACACTATTTAACGGTTAATCTAGAGTTTTTATCAAGTTGATAATATTTTTATTAAATCAATATTTTTTTTTTTAAATATTTAAGTTGGAAAGGATTTGTAAATCCAGCCACAAATTTTAATCAAAATTGATTCTGCTACTTTGGTAATTAGTAATAGTTGGGTTATAAGATTTCTCAACAATATATTAATATAGACATTTGGGGAATCGTTTATGGATTCTGTTCTTATGCTTTATTACGTAAACGTTTACGTAAAAAATGTTGAGTAAGGCTCACACTTTTCGTAACCCCAGGTTTTATCAATTTTATCAAGGATATCGCCTTGTTAAACTTCCAAACTAATTAATAGCACTCATAAATAAAAATATTTTTATTTTAAATTAAAATATATGTAATGAGGAATGTTAAATAATTAAAGTTGAAGCTCCGGGGCTAGGTTTTCAATGTAAGTATCAAAAACGATTTGGAAAAATCTTAATTTCATTCGCAATGATGTCAAAGTCTGAGAAACGAGCATCAACATTTGTTTTCAAAGCACATTTCAGTAATGTGGCTGAATATTTCACATATTTTAAAATGTGTAGAAACGTTGGTTTTCTCCCTGCAATCTCAAATTCAGTTTGTTATGTTTTGTCAAATCGACGTAGAATGCTAACTTCTTCAGCCATTCGCTATTTTGTAATTCGGCAATAGGGCGATGCTTTTCATTCAAGAAAATTTCAATTACTGCTCGAAGTTCAAAAAAGCGCTGATGGTCTTTTCCGCAATTAAGCCAAAGTACTTACGGCAGTATGATAAAATAAGTCATGTCAATAAGCTCAGTGAAATTTACAATGGATAAAACTGGTTTTAGAACATCACACATATCCAAACATTTCCCGCACAATGACTGGTGATTAACGATATAATGTAAAATTAACAGTTTTGAACCACTATTATTTTCTACAGCCTTTGACAGAAGAACCCTTTATTTTTTCCACACATGTTTTTACCTCCAGTTGTAATAGATTTCAAGATTTTCCATTAAATGTCTTTTTATTAATGTCATTGTAAAGTCCCTTAAAAATCAATATCAAGAAGTTCTTCATACACATCATAGCTTTTATCTATATCTTGAATAAAAACCAACACCAGAGCAGAATCTGACATATCCGTTGAATCATCTAAGGCCAGAGAAAACCACTCAAGATGTCTATTTTTTTCAGATAGTTGAGATGATATATTTTCTGTAATGTCTTCTATCCTCTGAGCCACAGTGTTTGCTGACAAACTGACAGTTTTAAATAAATTTACCTTTTCGGGCACATTTCTTTGGCTTACTGCAATTACACATACTTTGATCATGAACAACACGAGTTGCAGCTTCTTGTTCAGTATTGAGTTTCGTGAACTTCCAATATATTTTGTTTTGACGTTTAATATTATATTCTTTGAGAACGGCTATGGTTTCTGTAGCGCATCACGCACTCTTATTATTGTTATATAGAAACATCATGTTATATCACCATGGGTTGATATACTCTATAGTTTCATTGCAAATCAAACATATTGCCTTTTTACTGGACTCAATAATGAAATATTGTAAATTCGATTGATCTTTGAATGATCTGAATCTGATAATGGCAGGAAATTAAGAATGAAATAATCAGTCTAAGGCCCACTTTTACCACCTCTTGATAAATTTAACCAATAGATAAATTGGCGCTCTTAGCCAATGAGAGCGCTTAAAACCGCTGTAACCATGGTAATTATCTATCGGTTAAATTTATCAAGAGGTGGTAAAAGTGGGCCTTAGGCTGGAAAGTTCGGAAACCCCTGTTGTCGTTGCATCGCATAATTCGATATTCGTCCATTCCAAGAAATTTATAAGCGTTTCGAAGGATATCTAAACATTTTCATCGTGATATTTTTAATGCCAACCAAAGAATTGTACCAATTAAAGTAAAATAAGAAATCTTATTATGTTTAAAAATGTATGTTTCAAGAAGTAAAATGTATTTTGAAAAATCGCTTCTTTCGTTGAAAATTTTAATTTCATTTTAATACTTTACTATCACATTGGGGGAAATACCCTTAATGACGTATTTATGTAGTTTTATTCATTTTCCAGATTGTAACTGTGACGTAAAGGGGACTATAGACATTATTTGCAATAAAACTACTGGAAAATGTATCTGTAAAGAAGGATATGGAGGTCAAAGATGTGATCAATGTATAGCAGGATACTACGGATATCCAGATTGTCAACAATGTAATTGTAGCACTATAGGATCACCATCAACTGTATGTGATGCATCGGGAAAATGTTCTTGCTTGAGTAATTTTGCTGGTCGTACTTGTAATCAATGTAGTCCCGGTTATTACAAATATCCGGAATGTTTACGTAAGAAATACAATGTTATTTTTCTTATCATACTATTATTTTTCAACATTTATAGCATGTAATTGCGATAGCCACGGAGCAAATGGAATGTCGTGTGACACTGATGGTCTTTGCGAGTGTCATTCTAATTTTGATGGAAATCGTTGCGATAGATGTAAAGAAGGATATTATAATTTCCCAACTTGTGAAGGTATTTTTTAAATAATTTCAAATATTTCCTCAACATTTATTTTATATTCTTTCAGATTGTAATTGTCATCCTGCTGGTGTTATCGAAGGTTTCGCGGGCTGCGGATCTGTACCGGCTGGAGAATTATGTCTTTGCAAGGATCGAGTTGAAGGACGTATTTGTAACAAATGTAAACCTCTTTATTGGAATTTAAACGCAAAGAATTCGGATGGATGCGAAGATTGCAATTGTAATACAAACGGTGTTTTGGGTGGTTTGTTGGTTTGCGATGGTGATAGTGGACAATGCCCTTGCAAACCATCTGTTGTGGCACGTGGATGTACAGAATGTGCAGATGGAACATTTAATTTACAACAGGAGAATCTTTTTGGATGTACAGGTAAAAATGTTCACCATATGAACCTCCTTAATTAATGATGAATGGAAGGTAGTGATCAAATTATAATTATTGAACATTTTTGTTAAGATTTATGAATTAGGTGTATGGAAAATATCGGTTGAAATCGTACGATCGCTCTTCTAACTCCCTTTGCCCAGCTCTTCGTGGGTCTTCCTCTCATTCTTCTTTGCTGCGGTTCTGCCATTCGTTGTATATGGCCATACCATATAAGTTGATTTCTTTAATATCTTTCCTTATTGTCTCTTTTAACCCCATTTGTTCTCGTATCACTTGATTTCTTACTCTTTCCATACGAGGTACTCTGGCAGATCTTCTCAGAGCATCCATTTCAGTTGCTATTACATTTTTTTTCTTATCTACGTACTCCACAATTCCGTTTAACATCCGAGATCTTATTTCTTTGTCATCTGTTCCTGTGGAGTCAAAGATGGTACCCAAATATGTATATTTAGATTTGTGTTGTTTGCTCCTATGCATAAATATTTGATTTCTTTAAATTCATTTCTAGACTCCAGTCTTCATAAGCTTCTTTGTCGTTAGTTAAAATAGCTTGATCATCTGCAAACGGAAGTGTAAACACTGTCATGTTGTCAACTGAGATGCCCGTTCTTTGGCATCTCTTCTTCCACACATGCAACTCTTTTTTATGTACATTTTGAACATGGTGGGCGAAATACAGCAGCCGATAATTTGTAACCTATTTTTATTTTAGATGTTGATTGGGAATATAAGTTCTGTAAAGTATGGCTTATATTTGAATACTGTAGTACTTTCCATAATTTAGTTAATTAACTTACAATTAGTGTATTTATTGTCATACACTTTAGTTAGATTTACGAATAATGTATAGGTTTCTTGGTTTGTGGCGCTCCTTGGCTTTCAATAATTTGTTTCCTATAAAATATGTTACAACTGCATGATCTGGTCTATGACCCACTCTATTCTTCTTTATCCTCAAACTCTCTCTCGTATGTATGTAGGAAAGGGGAGGGTATGCTTACGCATACAGTACCTAGGCCCCAAGGCTCCTGGCTACATCAACCAGCCTAAGGAATTTCCGAAGGCTAGGATACAGCCCAGAGGTGTGTTCCTGATGCCATCCGTGCTCGACCATTCCTCTCCGAAGTCTCTCATTCTGAGGTCTTGCAGAGTGGGCGTCACAGTGACCCATGACGGCTTCCGTTACAATTCGTAAAGCGTTTCTACCAAGTTTTACGAAAGACAAGGCTGCCTCTGATGAGGGGTAACGAAGTAGTTCCTTAGACAGATGGCAGCTCTTAACCCTGTCCCACCAGTTCATAAACTTTTGTGGGTGAAATCTTTAATTATCTCAATTTGAGTTGATAAGGACGGAGCGATTATCGGTTCAGGCGAACAGGGCGCTCGCTTGGCAGCCCTTTTAGCAAGCCTATCAGCGTGCTTGTTACCTGAACACGTCGAGTGTCCTTTTGTCCATTGATGTATAACACAGTTACGCACTGCGGCCTTCTCCAATGTCAGATGATAATCCATAACAAGTCCTGAGGTAATTGGTGTTCTACATTCCAGAATTTTCGAATAATCCACCATTTTATTCCAGAGTATGGTATTTTTACTGTCTCTTTCACCCATTAGAATTCCTGCTGCACGCAGTCGAATCATGGTCACCAGTGAATGAACAAATGAAGTGGCGTTAGGTTCAGCATGTTTTCCATGGCTGCAGTGGGGGTAGTCCGCAGCGCTCTGTACTTTGGTGAGTGCAGCAGTGGATGTAGACTGTAAGGTCTTTGACCACCATATGTAAGCATAGGTCGGATGACAGCCGTATAAATGCAGAGGGCAGTTTTGGGTGACAAACCCCATGTCTTACCTACAGCCCTCCGGCATTGCCCGAATGCAATGTACGCTTTTTTTATTCTATTATCTAGGTGAGCTTTCCATGTCATTTTATTGTCAAGTATAATGCCCAGATATTTGACTTCTTTTGACAAGACCAATGGAGTATTAGTGAGAGATGGCATTCCCGACTTGCCAAACTTCCTCATCCGTCTGAAAAGAATCAACTCTGTCTTCTTAGGATTCACAGAGAGTCTTAGTTGATCACACCAAGACTCAATCAATTTGACAGCTACTTGCGTCCTGTCAAAAAGCACATTTATGTACTTGCTTTTGACGAGAATGGTTAAATCATCTGCATAACCAACTGTTGTAAAGTTGGCTTCAGTAAGGCGTTTCAAGAGGCTATCTAGGGTGAGATTCCACAAAAGTGGGGATAGTACACCTCCTTGTGGACAGCCTCGAGTAACTCCTCCTTGAAGACTGACATCGCCAGCCCTAAGCTCAACTATCCTATGTTTAAGAGTGTTCTCAATCTAGCCACAAAGAGTCGGTGGAACACTATGCTGTAATAAGGCATCATTAATACCAATCGTTTTGTTTTATCAAAAGCTCCCTCTATATCTATGAAAACACCTAGGGCGGACTCCTTCAAGTCCAGCGCTCCACCAACAAAGCTGGTCACCGAGTGAAGAGCCGTTAGTGTGGACTTGCCCTGAGTGTAAGCGTGTTGATTAGGATTTACTGGTTGAGTTGGAAGATAGAAATCTCTAATATAGCGATCTCACAGTTTCTCCAAGGTTTTCAAAAGAAAGGAGGAGAGACTGATTGGTCTAAACGATTTCGGTATGAAATAATCTAGCTTAACCCGGTTGTGGTATGAAGTTCACCGTGACCTCACGCCACCGATTGGGTATAAAGCGCAGCGCTAGGCACGCCTGGAAGATTCCCACTAGGTGAGGTACTAAATCCTCCAAGCCCCATTGTAAAAGGGCAGGTATAATACTGTCTGGTCCTGGTGTTTTGAACGGTGAGAAACTGTTAATGGCCCACCGTATTCTCTCGTATCTCTCTCTCTCTATCAGATCTCTAAGTACTCTACCATACAGCTGCTGAGCTCACTGGGCACCGAGATTCCTCTATGATTTTAGCAGATCTTACCCCCTTTCTTATGGATTAACGATGCATAGGCTACTTTTCATTACTCTGGAACTTCTCCGTTCATTCTAAGTAAATAATTGTAAATATTTTCTGTTCCATTTTTGAACATCTCTCCCGCTATTCTTTTTAGACCACGTGATCTTCTATTTTTCAGTGTTATAACTGCCTGTCTTTCCACTTTTCTATCTATTTTCACGGCTTCTCCCTGCACATGTATTATAGTATCGGTTATATCGATATTTTTTCTTTTCTACCAGATCTTCTGTTAAGTCATTCCACCATATTTTATCACTCATATTTTTTGTTTCTTCTGCCTAATGCTTCAATAGCTGCTTGTTGTAGGCTATTCCATATTTTGGTAATTTTCTTTAAAAGACAATTCTGTGGAGATTTTTAGTTTTTTTATCTAGTCAGATACCGAGTACTATCATCTTACATGCTGTCTAAGTGGTACTGTGGGTATTCGATTTTCCGAGTCTTTATTTATTGTTGCAGGGTTCTACTGATTATTTCACCAGGGAAGGTATATCTTAGCTCTCGATGCAAAATAGTCGGGTCCGTACTGATTCCTCTTTGTACTCTGATGTAATGTAACATGCAGTTTTGAGGTTTGTTCGACGATGATGTAGTCAACTATGGACTTTGCCTCGTGTCTGTTGTTTCCAGGTGAAATTGTGTATCATTCTGTGTTTGTAAAATCCGTTTGTTATTTTTAATCTGCTAGTCTGATATAATCATACAACCAATATGACCGATTTTTACTATTTCTTCATTAAGTCTTTCAAAGAATTGGTCTTCAAGCACCGTTATTTTCTTGCCCATGGGGTTAATTTCCAATTTGATTATATTTTCATTTATACATGGGGCAATCAAATATAAATGAGCCTTTTCTACAAATAAAATTTATTTTACAGAAGTTATTCTATAAACTATTTTGTTATACATTTATCCCAACGTTGTGGTAAATTTTTCATTCATTGTGTCCTCGTAGACTGAAGTTGGACTGATATCTAACCAGCTGCGGATGAATATTTCCACGTGATCCTTGGTTTCAAATCGCTTGCCTCCAAGTACTTCTTTGAGAGCTCCAAACATGTGAAAATCGCATGACGATAGGTCTGGACTGTAGGGTGATCAAGTCTTTTCTAGTTCATTTCATCCGTTTCTGCTGCGTTGCAGCTGCTGTGTTGGGATGGGACAATTTTGTCTTTTAATTCGATCAAAGAATTAAGAATCTACCAGTAGGACACCCCTCCAGTCTCAAAAAACCGTCATCGCCTTTCTTTACGCTTGTCGATATTTAGTTTTATTTTATTTACAGTGGTCCACTCGTAGATAATGTCTAAATCACGCTGAGCTTGTGTAAAGATTGAGTATGGGACACCAGCGTAGAAAAGTATTGTGTTATCAGCATACAGCAACAACTTGCCAGTTAGATTTAGATATGAAATATTATTTATAAATATTATAAACAGGAGACGGCCTAGAACAGAGCCTTGTGGCACTCCATATTTAACAAGTTTTTTGCCGCTTGCATACCCATCACACACCGTGTATTGATATCGATCTTTCAAGTAATTCGTAAAGATAACCAGTGCCGGTGCAATCACCCTTATGCTCTTCAGACGATTCAACAACAGCTCATGATCAACCACATCAAATTCCTTACATAGGTCCAAAAATACAACCAAAACTGTTCGTCCAAGATTCACATTATCATAAACAAACCATGCTGACTCTCCGCAATAAAACCAATACCATTTAAAAATTGCAGTAATCTATTTTTCAGTACCAGCTCGTATATTTTGGCAAAAGCAGTTATGGCTGATATCGACCGATAATTGGTTGCTTCTACTTTCGGACCCTTCTTGAATATCGGTGTTATCGTTCCAATCTTTAGTTCTTTCGCGAAATTCCCCTCCTTCAGGCTTCTATTAATAAAACTAGATAGAATCGGTGAGAGTATCTCTTTCAAATATTTGACAACTTTAGGCTTGATACCATCATGACCTGGAGCTGAATTAGTTTTAAGTGTTGTTATTATCATCATTACTTCGTCTGACGTAGTAGGTCTTAAGTACATTGAGTATTTCGGTTTCCACTCATTGTCTACTAAACTACTAGTGTTTACTTGATCTCTTACGATTTTTTCTGCAACACAGGTAAAGTGTTCATTTAGAACATTACAGATTTGTTTTGGGTCCTCCGTTTCTGGATTATCTTTATGTAAAATTTTATGGATTCGTTCCTGCTTATTATTTATCATTATTGAATCATTTATGACTTTCCATTGCTTTCGAGCAGAATCTTCAGCATTGCTGTGAACCATCTCTCTTCAAGATTAGTTATTAAATTCCTATCTTTTGTTACTGTTATCTTCTTTAAACCACCCTGAATGCAATCAATGACAGCACTGAATGTCATCTGTTTGGTTTTCAATGATTCCAGCTCCATTCCAATAACTCTGGTTAATAATTTTAAATTTATAATTTGCACAGTTGAGCGTAGTTTTCAGCAACATATGATCGCTTATATGGTGCGAAAGAAGCTCCAAGTTCGGGTTACAATCAAAATTTGTGATTACGTGATCGAGTATGGACTTACAGCCTGTCTTAGGATCCACTCTTCTAGCATTTTCAGTATCTATCGTGTTTATTATTTTATAACCATTCATCTGTAACATATTAATATATTCCCGAACGATGCTTGTGTTTTGTTCCAAAAGAGATATGTTGAAATCTCCTATACAAATAGTATTTACACGTCTTAATGCCATTTCGAGCGCATCCATGAAAGGCCAGAAGGATGAGTCAGGCTTTTTGTAGACTCCCGTAATGATTATATTGTGAAATGTAAGTCTAATTGATAATAAGTTGTTACCATCCGTGTTCACAGAAGAGACCAGTTCATGGGGACAGTTGCTTCTTGTGAATATTGACACACCCCCTCCTCGATCCTCTCTACACACATGAGACCCCATATAACTTGGAAACTTCAAAGTCATAGCCTCGTCATCATACAGCCAAGTTTCAACAAAAATCAGTATATCAGGTTTATGTTGCATCAAAATGACATCAACTTCATTAATTTTGTGTCTTAGGCTTCTTATATTACAGTATATTACTTTTAGTTTACATTCAGCATTACAGTTCAGTTTTTTGGCTTTGGGAGATCTTCAATATTGTTGATGGTAATTAATTTGGCAATCATCCTGCTTTAGCATTACTTTCCCATTCTTAATCCAAGCGTATTTGTATTGATTAGCTCTTTTAAAATTTCTCGCAGCTTTAAACAGCTCTTGAGAACTATTTTGTTAGTTCATGTGAGAAATATACAGTTTCGTCTTCTTCATACGCAATAATTCCAGTTGTAATTCTATTTCCCTCGTACCTCGCTTTCATCATTTTTGTTTTATCTTCCAATTCTTCAAACTAAACTTTTATCGGGAGCTTACGACCTATCTCCCTTTTATCCATTCTAAAAGCTTTAAATTTACACTTCTGAAGCTTTAAGGTGTCACATAACCCTTCAACAATTTTCAACGTATTCTCATCGTGTAATTGGACTGGTATTCTTCTTCTTCTTCTTAAAACCAGGGGTATCCACTTGGTGTCTGGGCTTATATAGCCCTTTTACCACCAGACACAATTTTTTTTTTTTTTTTTTGTTGTATCAGTTTATCTTCAAATTAGGTAGCCCTGTGGGGAGATAAAGTTCCAAAGATCAAAAACAACTTAGATAAACAGAACTACCGGAAGGGGGGAATGATCCTTCCTTACTACCTTAACCCATCAAACCACTTTTACTTGCTTAAGCACCTACATGCCTATAACCCACCGAACGGCGACAGATGTACATCCCCGGGTCAACCCGTCGAAAGGATGAACATCTACCGAACAGTCATCCATGCATTAAAATAAAATCAAACAAAAATTCCTATCTTGCACAAAAAATAAAAAAGCATTCTCAAAACTCTAGCGTTATTGGTTACCAAAAGCATACTAACATTATATGGAGGAAAAATGCCCTCCCTTCTCAGCTTAACAAACATTCTACTTCTATCCAACTCATACGTTTCACATGCCATAATAATGTGGTTAAGATCACAAAATTCTCCACAACTGCAGTTTGGAGAATCCGCCATGCCAATCCTGTACAGATGTGCAGGAAACATGCCATGTCCCACTCTCATGCGATTAATTGTAGATATCATGTGTTTAGATTCTGAACGTAATAGCTTATACCATGCCCCTTCTCTGACATCCGTCTTAATCAACCACAAGGCTCTGCCCTTGAATCTGCTACTATCATCCCAATCCCGCTGCCATAAATCCAATACATCCCTCTTTAGTTCGTAGACAATGTCACCAACGTCCTTGCGTATCTGATACCATGGACCAGTGTCACCCGCTGCCAGACCATCCGCTCTCTCATTCCCAACACTTCCCACATGGCCAGGAATCCAAGCCAACGTAATCCTCAGTTCTTCTTCAGTACACTGCCAGCTAAGTTCTTTAACTTTGTTCACCAGATAATGTACCTTCGTCTTTCTTCCCATGGCCACCTCCAATGCACGGATCACACTCAACGAATCCGTGAATATCACCACTGGTGACACCCTGTTTGTCTTTACATGGACTGGTATTCTAGTTACGTTTTTCTCTAACTCAGTTTGCGATCTCCTATTCATCTCCAGTTTCATATTGTTTAGCTCAGTGTTAAGATGCTTTATTTGTGTTTGAAGTTGATTATTCATTTCTTCCTGTTTTGTTAATTTACCGAATAAAAGAACATATTTAGCATCCATTTGATTTAGTTTATTAAGTAAATCCTGCATCATCGGACTCTGTTTTGAAATTGTTCACGTTTTCACAGTCAAAGTGAAAAATTATAATAAATTATAATTATGCGTTGCTCAACAGAGACGGACGCACATCTCTTACTCATCATAACGGCTACTAAATTAACCACGAGATGTGCCGGCTGATGTGGTTTCCCTACATTAGGCATTCTCACCTAATGATTACAAATACCCAATCATACACAAATCCCCTTCCCCACGCTTGCTATATCTATATTAAGTTTTCCCATTTCCGATGTTATCTCTTCCCACTTTCTTCTTACTCCTCTAATATTCCACGTTTAGTAATTCATCATCCTTTATTCCCAGGCTTTGTCTTCGTTTTTTAGCATTTTACGTTTTTTACTAGTGATGAGGAGCTGGTCCATCAACTCAACCCCCAATCTGGAGGACCTAATTCATCTATCATGTAATAGCCCTATAGTCCTAATAATATGTAACCATTTATCTTTGATGGGAAATTATTTCGTCGTATTAACTGTTACTTAAGTAGTACTGTTGTTTAATTGTTTCATTCTTATGCAGATTGTGGATGTGATATCGGAGGTGCTTTAAGTCCAATTTGTAATAAAAGAACTGGTGAATGCGCTTGTCAATCTCGTGTAACGGGGCGAACATGTAAACAACCACTTCAAACCCATTATTTTCCAACATTATACCAATATCAATATGAAATAGAAGATGGTCATAGTCCTCAAGGTTCGAAAGTGAGGTACGCCTACAATGAAACGCAATTTCCGGATTATTCATGGAAAGGTTACGCTGTCTTTTCCTTTTTACAACGCGAAGTTATTCAAGATATTTACGTTGCTAAACCATCCGTTTATTTAATGGTTCTTCATTACGTTAATGAACACGAAACTACCATCGGAACCATTAAAGCTATTCCGGAAAGTCCAACAGATAATGAACAAACTTTACAAGTTATGTTTAAAAATACTAGTGCTCCCACTTCGGTTATAACGGAATCTTTGGTTATGAATACTGGCCCATGGAGGTTTATCATTAAAATTGATAAACCCCTTTTATTGGTACTTTATTTTTGTAATAAATTTTAAATTTTTATAAAGGAGTATGTATTTTTTAGGATTATTTTGTACTTTTACCAGAAGAATTTTATTCAGCATCTATTTTAAAACAACGTGTTGAAAATCCATGTAAAATATTCGATAAAGGATTATGCAGAGATTTTAGGTATCCAAATGTATCATCTTTTGCAACTACTTGGGGAGCTGGTGCTTTTATCGATTTAGGAGATGAAATGGCTGCTAAACCAAGTGAATTTTTTACTGATGAGGAAGTAATTAAACCTATTTATTTCAATCGCTCACATCACTACTATTATTATATTTCAGCAATTAAAAGAATTAGGAATAAGAAAAATGGTCCCAATTATATCCCCAGCACAACAAGGATTAGATTATTTACTATCAGTTAACAAAGCAGGTCCATATGTAATTGTTTTAACTTATGTAACACCAAGAGATGATGATCGCAGTCATTCCATTGACGTGGATATTATTGCTGATGTCGTAACGACCGGTAAAATCGAATTATATTCGTGTTCTTATTCCCATACTTGTCGACAAGTCGTTCGATCTGGAGCAGGTGGAGTCAGTGTTATTAACGCTACAGATGATATTAAAATAAAATTGAAGGTAAAAAATAGTCCGCCATGAATTAATTTGTTCTTTGAACTAAAACTTTCGGGTTTTGCCGTGCGCCTTTTAAGAAAAGGTTTGACGTTTCGGATGCCATGTTGCAACCTTCTTGAGAAACTGGTTCGAAGTGACGAAATCGAAAATGGGAACAATATATACAGTACCGCTCAAAAGTATATGATAATTTGGTTTTTCCCACATAACTTTTTTGAAACTTTATGAAAGCAGACCATTTCTTTTTACCATAGTTTTTGCAATGTATTTCACATGACATAGACTTGTGTGGAAGAATCCGTTTCAACTTTGAGTTATAAAAAAATAATTTTTATTAAAATACGAAAATACGCTATAAAGCGATGTCAACAAAAATAAATCATCTCAAGAAATATCAACATAACAATCGTGAACGGCAATCAGCCATGTAGGGCAACCTAGTACTTGATTGGGTAACTCATCCTATTGATCACAGCCTGACATCTGGGCATGGAATCGATCAATGCATCGATAGTGGACTGGTCAATCTTCACCCACTTCGCCTGCAGCTGATGGAGCTTTTCGTCGGCGTAAATGGCCCGAATGCCCGTCAACTTGTGTCAAAGAGTGTCCCACAGTGGTTCGAAAATGTTGAGATCCGGGCTCTGGCTGCACCAGTCCATTACTGCCACTCGACCCTGCTCGATCCAGTTGGACATTCCTCGATGTGTGCGTGGGATCATTGTCTTGCTGAAACAGCCAACACCGACCCATGTATCTGCGTGGCCAGGGAAGCATGTCATCTTACAGAGAGTCCCTGTACTTCTGACGGGCCATGGTGCCCGTAACGAGAACCAGAGGGCCGGTGAAAGCAGCGCTGAAACACCCCCCACACCATGACGGAAGCAAGTACTTGGGATCGAAGCGAGTGCCTGTAGGATGGCGGATGCACGATATACCATCAGTTCCGAATAGCAGGAACTTGCTCTCGTCGCTCCACGGGAACGTTCTCCCACTGTTGATGGCTGCAGTTGAGGGGCGCCTTCGCCTACTCCACGCGCGCCTTCCTGTTCTTAGCTGAAACGAGTGGTTTCTTTACCGGACGTCGACCAATGAGTCCTGCATCCTTCAGCCTCCTCTTGACCGTCGATGTAGACTGTTGGCGCTGCTCAGAACTCGCTCTGCACAGCATCGCGCCTTTCCTGTCCTTCAGCCGAGTGGTGATTTGACGTCTATCATTTTAGTTTCTTCTTCACGAAGCAACCAAGTGTCCTCCACGTCTTCAATACCGATGAAATCTGCGTGGTGAGCTGCATCTGTGTGCATCCTTGTCGAGCACCCCATATGATGGCCTTCTGCGTCAATTCCGACAAATCTCGAACTCCTTTCTTTTTACCCATTCTTAAGAATAATATTTCATAACTTTCCGAAAATATTACGTGAAAATAACGGAAAACAAAAAATTAAAATAAAAGTTATTTCTAGGCTTGACATCGATTTTCAAAAGAAATTTGTCACGCCTCTATGCTTTGGCATATATTGTGTCCTCTGGAATATAATATAATTGTGTTCACTCGTTATGCATTGCCTGATAATTGTGTGAAGATTCGTCCAGTATTAGAAAAGTTATGTGAGAAAAACCAAATTATCATATACTTCTGAGCGGTACTGTACGTGGGAAAACTAATTAATAATACGTATATTAATAAACTAATTAATATACGCTAATTACACGCTAATTATTAACTAATTGCGTCACGTCCGGTGTGAGGCGTGAGGAGGTCTTCGTGTTCACCACCATCTTTCATGTTCTGCTAAGCTCCCAGCCATTTTCTCTGTTGACGTTATTTCTATGTCGATGGATCTCTATGGCTTCTCATGTCAGTCTTTGGTAGTATCTGTTGTCCCTAACCAGCACCTTTGTTTGATCGAAGTCTATTCGGTGTCCTTCTGCATGGCAATGTTCCGCAACCGCCGACTGCTGGATCTTCTTCAACCTTTCATGCTCCTTGATGCGGCACTCGACGTTACGTCCAGTTTAACCAACGTAAACATTCCCACAACTACACGAGCTCTCTTTAATGGAGTTAGTTTGTCATTGATTATCGGGAGTGTGTTCCGAATTTTGCTGACCGTCCCGTACCGCACTACGATGTCGTTCTTCTTGAGGTGCCTGGCAATTAGTTCCGTTATACCTGAAACATAGGGAAGACAGATAAATCCAAGCGGTTTTGTACTTCCCTCTGCTTTCGCTGCTTGATGGCCCGGTTGATGTCCCTCAAAGTGTATCCATTCTTCTGCAGCACGCCTCGTAGAAAGTGTTGCTCCTTCTTCAGGTTATCTTCTTCACATATTCTCGCTGCTCGCTGAAATAAAGTACGGATCACGGACCTCTTCTGTTGGGGATGATGATGCCTGCAGATACCTGTTGGTATTGGTCTTCTTCCGATATACACCAAGATCCAAATCTCCATTTGTCGTCCTGGTGACTAACACATCTAGGAAAGGTAGTTTTTCGGCAGTTTCTGTTTCCATGGTAAACTTAATCATCGGATGTTGAGAGTTCAAGTGAACCAACAACTCTTGGAGCCGTTTTTGACCATGTTGCCATATCACAAACGTGTCATCCACATATCGGAGCCATAGTTTTGGTTTCCACTGGCTCTTCTTCAAAGTGTGTTCTTCAAATAATTCCATGTAGAAATTAGCTATAACTAGCGATAATGGAAATCCCATGGCTGCCCCTTCGAACTGTTCGTAAAATTCTCCTTTCCAGCTGAAATACGTCGACGATAAACAGTACAAACCTTTCTGCTGTTCTGCTGGAATTCCTGTGGATTTTATCAGGTCCTTCATTTTCCTTACGATTTTGTCTGTGGGGTCTTTCTTGATCTTCCTGTAAGTGGCTGGGTCCAGTAGGTTCATCATTTTGTCGTCATATTCTTTCTTGTCCATAACAACGGTGGCATTCAATTAACACCGGCCGTGAATGCCTCAATTCGTACTTGGTGACACCTTCATACTTATATTATTAACCTTTATGGGGAGGATATCAACAAACAAATCAAGGATTTGGATAACTGACGAATTAGACAACGCAAGCTGTTGAGCAGTTTGGCCTTTCTACGAAGATACAGAGAGAAGAAAGTAACGCCAACCTTCTTGCAGGTAAAGCTTTTACCAAGATTAGGACAGAACAAGCACTACTACGAGAAAGAATCCACAAGACCTCCAACGATCTACAGAAAATAAGTGAGAGGTTACTGCGACTCCACCTCTCACTTTCTAATTTCACGTCTGGAGAAGACTGGGATAAAGTGAACAGACTAACAATGGAGAAGGCTGATCGTGAATTTCAGAAGACCCGTGACACGTACATCAAGAAGTTTGAATCCCTGGAACGCCGGATACAAAAGAAGAAAAGTAATAGTTTACCAGTAGAAACAATCGTCATCAACAGATCGAGTGTGCCAGTAACAAAAGACGAAACCACTGTGCTCGCCAAAGGATTAAACTACGCAATCGCCCCGAAGAAGGTCACAAAAGAGGAAATCATCTGCGAAGTGGAAGCGGCTGTTCGAGTGATGCCCACACTAAAAGCCGAAGAGATCCGACATGAAGTTGGAGAGTACTGAAGTCAGCAAAACCACCGAAATCCAACTTGACGGTTGGTGAAAAGAAGGCACTCCGATCTATTAAAGAAACGTCAGAAATCGTCGTGTTATCAGCAGACAAGGGGAATGCAACCGTTGTTATGGACAAGAAAGAATATGACGACAAAATAATGATTCTACTGGACCCAGCCACTTACAAATGGAGGACCTGCTAAAATCCACAGGAATTCCAGCAGAACAGGAGAAAGGTTTGTCTCCCTCCGCCCTATCATCAGTGTCATCAACTCCCCAACACACCAGTTGGCCAAATATCTTGTAAAGATTCTGTCTCCTTTTATCAAGGAGCATGAAAGGGATGTAAGGTTGAAGAAGATCTAGCAGTCGGCGGTTGCGGAACATTGCCATGCAGAGGGACACCGAATAGACTTCGATCAAACAAGGGTGCTGGCTAGGTACAACAGATACTAACAGATACTACCAAAAACTGACAAGAGAAGCCATAGAGATCCATAGACATAGAAATAACGTCAACAGAGAAGATGGCGGGAAGCTTAGCAGAACATGGAAGATGATGTTGAACACGAAGACCTCCTCCTACTTCACACCGAACGCGACGCAATTAATTAATAATTAGCTTGTAATTAGCGTTAGTTAATTATTAGGACTTATATATTGTTCCCGATTTTCGATTTCGTCACTTCGAACCAGTTTCTGAAGAAGGTAGCAATATGGCATCCAAAACGTCAAACCTTTTCTTAAAAGACGCACGGCAAAACCCGAAAGTTTCTAGTGTTAGTTTTAGTTCAATTAACACCGGCTGTGAAAGCCTTCGTATTTATATTAATTTGTTCTTATTTTTTCTTCTTATTTAAGGGTAATAATACAAACGTTGGCATTGAATCAATAATAGCAATACCTTACGATGAATGGTCTTTGGACTACATTGGACCAAGACCGATTTGCATAAAAGAAAGTGGAGAATGCGTTAAAGCAAGTTTTCCGAATTCGCCTGAATCTAAAAAAGTACAATATGAGCAAGAAGTTATTGTAGAAGAAACTGTTCCACCTATAGTGGCGAAAAACACAACTACTTATATCCATTTGAATCCAAAACAATCTGTTATCGATATTAAAGGAAAAGTTCCAATTGCTGGGCAATATTACGTCTTTGTTGTACATTACTATCAACCCGATTATCCAGGTAATTGGTTAATTTTTTTTTAATGTAATTATTATACATTCCATATTTCTTTGTTTCAGAATATGATTTAAACATCATAATCCAAAATGGTCAATTCTACAAAGCGAAACTACCAGTTCGACATTGTCCATCAGAATCAGGTTGCAGAGCATTAATCGTTCAACCGAAAGAGAATAACAACAAATTTTTATTATACGAAAACTTCGTCATAACACACGAGGTAAATTAACCGAATTAATTTCTTTTTAATCTGTACTTCACTGGAAAATTTTCAGCTTCCTGATAAGAAAAACAGAGACATTTACCTCGATTACATCTTAGTTATACCACATGACGTTTATTCCCCTCAAATTTTAGAAGAAGATTATTTCGATAGAGCAAATCAGTTTATACGATCTTGTGCCAACAAAAATTTTGATGTCGATACAACCCAAGACGGCTTTTGTCGAGATTCCGTGTTCTCCATTACAGCCGGTTACAATAACGGTGCTTTACCATGCGAGTGCGATTATTTAGGTTCTTTAAGTTTCGAATGCGACAAATTTGGTGGGCAATGTAAATGCAGACCGCATATTATCGGCCGACAATGCGAAGCTTGTAAAACTGGATACTATGGTTTTCCCGATTGCCAACGCTGTAATTGTCCATCTACGGCTGTTTGTGAACCAGAATCCGGTAAGTTATTTAAGAAAAAAACATACAGTACTTTTCATGCACTTTTCCTTGGTGTTTAGGAGTATGTATTTGTCCATCTCATGTTACTGGGGAACGTTGTGACCAATGCGAACCACTTACTTATGGTTTTGATCCAATTATTGGTTGTGAGGAATGTAAATGTAACCCGTTAGGTGTTAGAAATCATGATTTACAATGTAATTTGCTAAGTGGAGAATGCGAGTAAGTATATATAAACTCAATTTCATAGAAGTGTGATTAATTTTACCATTTATTTTCTTTAAAAATACCTTTTCAACCGAATTTAACCAGATGATTTTTATTATTAATTGATTTTGAAATTGAATAAGGAATGATTAAACTAAAGATATTGTGCAATATTTCCCAACTTTAACAAAACATGATTTAAATCGGATAAGATTGTCAAAGGGCTTATTCACCAACTTTTTAGTTTTTTTTTATGTCCATGTTTTTATGACAGAGTAAAAAGAGGTCTTTGTCGAATTTAGGTTGGCTAAAATAATATGACTTAGATTAAGGTCAAAAGGACCAAATAGATACCTTATTATTAGAGCGTAAAGTTGTCTAGATCTAAAAAGGACTTTTTTAAACTAGCATGATTGGTATTATAACTAACAACGCTTCATTTGAGTTTATTTGAATTGTATTTATTACATTTTTAGCTTAACTGGTGGCAAAGTAACGCATAATAGTGATAATTACTAAAAAAAATCAAATTAAAACTTCAAGTATCAACAAGTCTTATCAAAATTAATTTATTGTTGTGTGGAGAACATATCGACGCTGCCAAGCCAAAACGGCATAAACAAAACATTTACTTGAGTTTTCAGAAAACAATCACATCGCGTCGTATTGAAATAGGTATTTGCGCAAACTTTAAATCAATATTATAACGATTGTAGGTAGTCTGCGGTTATATCGCTTTAACTGTTGAATGCAGATTTAAAAATTACGTTCAAAATTTTGAAAATTGTTGCGTTTATGCCGTTTTGGCTTGGCAGTATTATAAAATTTATGCCACTATTAAGTTCAACTTTTAAAAAAATCACCCCTGATCTCCCTGAATCCTGCGAGTAATTTAAGAGGTAGAACGTCTGTTAAAAGTTGCTCGCGCCACATTTTTCCCCAATTTTTATTAATATCATAAAAACTAATTAATCAATATTTGATTGCTACGTATCATTGGATCCCGTTTTTAGCTCTATCTGAAAGTGTTATAATGTATAGGCTGTTCGATTTCAAAAAACATTGTTGACCCATTTCCGGAAAAACTAAAAGTGATAAATATAAAAATAAACGTGGTTTGGTTCATAACGATATCTCGAACCATTTTCAAATTAGACAGGGGGGAATACTTATGACGCGTACTGTATATGTATACGTTAGACCCAATCGTCGATTTCGGACAAGTGCCGCAATAATCGAGCATTTCACGGAATGTTCAAATGCATTTGAGTCAATGCCGAAATAGAATTGAATTTCGGCATTTGACCAGATAATTTTAAGCAAACGCAGATTGAATAGTTTAATTCTGCACAATCGTCGATTGTACTCCTTCTATTTGATCAAATGCCGATCTTAATAAGGTTGAAATAAATTATATGTCTGTAAGTATATGTATACAAATGTGCAATATGGCATTAACAACTCAATACAAGATCACTTTTTTCAGCTTTTACTTTTTACCAGTAAATCAAACTGTTCAAAAAATAAAACACATTTTTACAAAAATATAAAAGTAGAACAACGAAAAATATCATAATTATTAAAGTAAATATTGACCTTATTTATTGCAGTATGATAAAGACTGATGACATTTACCTACTGTTACACTTAACTTGTCTTAAAAGACACTTGCATTTTTTATTTTTGCCGTTAGTCTTACATTTACAACGGACAAATCCTTGTTTACCATTTGTTTCTACAGAAGCAATGTGTCGAAGCGGAGCTGTACAATAGTATATTAAAAAACAAGTTTCGTAAGACACGTTTGAAATGCACGAATTCAAGTTGAAAAACGAGTGGGGAAGCCACGAGTTTTTTAATGAATGAGTGCTTTAAGTCTTATGAAACGTGTTTTTTATGCTATTTTTTGTAATTCGCGTTTTTATTCTTTTTTTCTCTAAAATAAAATAAATTTGGCAATGTAGGGAAATAGGTATGTAGCAGTTGGTAACACCGTAACATTTGAAAATAGAAATTTGAATTGACAATTAGAAACTGTCAAAACACAAAGTGTATTCACCTGACAAAAATGTTTCATGTACACCTCCCAAATTATTTTCTCTTATGAGAAATTGCTCAGAGTTCAATGTCCTCATCATTGTGAAGCTTGTATTCGATGCTAAGAACGTGTTTAAACATCCATAGACAAACATTGTCACATTGACAACTAGAAAAATTAATGACCCAATGTCACCAACTTGAACTGGTTCCATAAAATGTTACTAAAATCTCATTACAGCATCGGATGCTGTAAGGAGTCTCATTACAGCACCCGTTTGAGTACTGTTATAGCTTTCATTACCGTCGCGAATTACAAAAAGAAAATTGTAATCGTGTTTAAACTAGATAAAGAATACCAATTGCTGTTCCTACTTTATATAGGCCTTCATTTTCAGAAATAACAACACCTAATATATATATTTCTAATATATACAGGGTGTATCTGAATGACTGCAACAAACTTCAAGGGGTGATTCTTTAGTGAATTTTAATTGTACTTTGATATATGAACCATGGGTGACTTCGGCTCCCCTAAGGAGCTACACCCCTCCAAAAATGGCGGAAAATTTTGGTTTAATTTTTTTTCTCAAAAACAATAAACGCTAGGAAAATGAAATTTGGGGAATATGTTTAACTCATAATAGGGCACGTTTTGACCCTGTTTATTTCCAATGTATTTATCACCGTCATAAGAAAAATCTAGACAAAAATTGAACGGGGGTGGTTATGTTTAGTAACTTAGAAGAGTAGGTTGAAAGTACAAATAGGGTCAAAACGTGCCCTATTATGAGTTAAACATATTCCCCAAATTTCATTTTCCTAGCGTTTATGGTTTTTGAGAAAAAAAAGTTAAACCAAAATTTTCCGTCATTTTTGGAGGGGTGTAGCTCCTTAGGGGAGCCGAAGTCGCCCATGGTTCATATATCAAAGTACCCTTAAAATTCACTAAAGAATCACCCCTTGAAGTTTGTTGCAGTCATTCAGATACACCTGTATATTTCTAGGTGCAGTTCGCCCACGATCAACATCCGGCATTTTCAATAAAATATTTTGTCCAGTATACAGATGAAAATTTGTTTGAAATTAGTTCCTGCATTTTATCAGCTTGTCGTTTTAAACTTTGTTCACTTTCTTCTATCTGTTGAGTGACTTGTTCTAACCGTATATTAATGTCGTCAGAGCTATCATCCATTTCTTCAGTTTCAACTACTCCATCTTCTTGAGACTGAATGTCGGTTTAGTTGTTAAGCAAATCATCCAGCTCTTTGTCCCTCTCAATATGACTGACAACAGTATCGGGCATGTTGGAATCCTTGAAACCATTCATCATTGGAACTCCTTTATGGTATGAGCGATTTTTCTGTAACTGCACAAACCGCAAACCTTCTGACACAATTTATTGGTTTTATTGTCTTTCATCCAAGAAACAAGAATGTCCCGTACGTCTTGATTTGCCCTTTCCACAGAGCCTTGACTCTGTGAATGACGAGGCTTTCCGTGTACAATTTCAGCGTCGAACATATCTGCTAAATTTATTGTTACATATCTGTTACTATTTATTGAACATATCTGCATTATCGGTATGGAGAATGCAGAGAGCGCCAATAATACAAAAATTGTCCATCAAATTATACACTACTCTTCCTCTGCTCTCTTAGATTTCAGCGGCTTTAAAAATACAAAAAAAGTCTGTCGACTCGATTGTCGAGAGTTTTATAGCCGCTAACCAACTTTTATTAAGAATTACGCCATTTGATCAAATAGGAGGTGATTGTGTAGAATTAAACTATCCAATCTGCGTTTGCTCAAAATTACCTGCTCAAATGCCGAAATTCAGTTCTATTTCAGCATTTGCTCAAATGCATTTGAATATTCCGCGAAATGCTCGATTATTTCGGCACTTGTCCGAAATCGGCGATTGGGTCTAACATATATAAGTCGGTTTACATTGTCTTCCGGTCTCTCATAATGTCGGATAGGATCATTATTATCATATCCATTTTCAATTTACCTATTGCTCTTCGCCAGTAATCCATTTCTGTTGCCTTTAAGAATTTCTACGTTTTTCCATTAAGTAGCCATACTTCGTTGCTGTGTGGTATTATGCTCCTTACTATCGTGTTATAGATTTAATGCTTATTCTTGCTCAACATGAATCAGTTATCATAGCTATTACTCTTCTGCCTTGTATGTTTCTATCCTTTATGGTGCACTCTAGTGTTCCGTCGCTGGTTAGTTGTGCTCTCAAGTATTTGTATTTCCTGGTATATTTTATACACTTCCCATCGTTTAGGTCAAGGTCATGCTACTGTCCTTCCACACACAAATAACCATTTAGCGGAATGCTTATACGGTTCAATATTCTTTTCTACTGTTTTAGTACTTGCTATAGATACGTTTTAAAGAAGGCCGCAGATAGGCAGCACCCGTGTTTGTGCCGTTTAGCGATGTCCCATCTTGATTTTAGCTATTTTTGTTGGTATACATTTCTTACTGTCGTTGTTATGGTCGTACTGATATTCGTTCTTTCGATCATAATTTGCTTTGTGAGATGCTATTATACGCTTTTTTTAAGTTTATAAGCAAGGTTTCTTGATTATTCGCAGTGTTTTTCATGACCTAGAAGACACAAAAGAGGCACTTCTGGTTCCATATCTCTATACTTTAGGTCTATTTTGTTGGTCAGAATCTTGCACTCCTATACGTCTGTAAATGTAGCAGTTTAGTCTGCTACGTTTCCAACTCCCTTTTAATGTATGGTACATATAACGGCTATGCTCTTCTGGAATTGGTTTACCGTTAAGGCAGTTCTAGAATAGTGCCTCAAGTTGTTGGTATAGTTTTGTTTATTCTGCTGCATGTCTTGTCCCATATTTCATTTTTGTGTTGTTTTGTAACGAAAACAATCTTCTGGGTCGTTGCCTGCGCCTGTTTGTACCGTAATTGATTTTGAAGCCATGTATATTTTACATGTTTCTCTTACATCTGTTATTATATCTTCTATTTGTCGCAATGCATTGTGCCAACAGTTCGGCGGAGGTGGAATTATGGTCTGGGGTGTTTCTCTTGATATGGATAGTCTCCTGCACAATTTTAGATAAAAATGTGTTTCCTAAGTTATGGCAGATTTATAGAGATGACTCATGTCATGTTGCAAGATCCATCACCGATTGGAACGGTGATAACGGAGTTAAACGAATGACAAAAAGTCCCGATCTTACCAAACCCCAATGAGAACCTCTTAGACAACACTCTACCAAGTATTGAATATGGATAAAGTTTATATCTTTTTTGTTTTACATGTGTCCAAATACTTATTGGCAGAGAGTATATTTGAATTCAGATTCTCAAGGTACTTTCCCATAATCATGTTTCTTAGTTATATTGCATTTTGTTAGATGTTGCAAATGTTATGTGTTTTTCATTATTAATGTTACTTCCTCGTAGAGTGAAACGTGCGTAGTCCTTAAAATGCTTCAACCTGTATAAAAGTTAGTCTTGTTAATTTTGTCCTCGTAGACTAGTAGAAGGTTTATTAAGGTTAATGTGTTCATTGTATACAGTAGGTGGCACAATTGAAGTTGGTTTTGAGTTAACCAGAAGTGTTGCCAATAATTTAGTCATCATTTTCACACGTTGACAGTTGGTAAATGCACCCATTCATGTTGTAAATTGTAATAACTGTTGATGTTAACGTACGAATATTCTCGTGGTCTCAAAAGGATGTCTTATTAGATCAATCTAAATGTTACTAGACCTACGCCATGGAATTTATGATGTTTTTTTCTGAATTATTTTACTACTTGTTGGGATTGCTGTTTTCCTACATGATTTTTATTTGTTCTTTGTCCACTTAATACCGCCGTTGGTGATTTTGAAAGTTGTTTCTGCCTAATATCATTGAATTTCGGATATTTTCAAGGCCGTGAATATATGCCCAGTTGGTCTAAAGCGGTGTTTCCCAACCTTTTTGTGCCATGCCCCATCAATATTTCATTAATTTAGACAACTATTTTTCTTCCCCATCATATTACTACATCTCCAGCACAAGATGTTATATTCTTCAGTGGAATGTTGTTGATAATATTACTTTGAGGTTACGACAAACAACAGATCGACACGTTAAAAAGGAAGAACGTTCTGAATCTAAATCTAAATAATTTTAATTTTATTTAAAATATTTGCAATTACACTTGATACTTTGCAATATGACATCTTAGTTAACTCTTATGATATTAGTCTTTGAAGATGGCCATGGGCCGAAACTAGTAAGACTTAAGTAAATAAATAATAAAACCAGTTTCAAAAGTACAATATGTACTAAGAATATTAAATTTAATTACCTTTTCACGAATTATTTATTTAGACTATTGGTGAATTATTATCTTTAAGAAAATAGTTTCAGGTAAAAAGAACTCGTACATTGGCAGTAGTAGGCTCATAAAAAGACCAAATCTGTCGAAATAAATAAATCTCAGCCTATCTATCTATGAACTCTCTAAAAATCGTCACATATAAATTACCCCTTTTTGAAACACCTCAGGAAATTATATACTGATACATTTTTTAGAATTCTCTTTTTCTTAGCCAGCTTAGAATTTTATAACATTTATGAATAGTTATGCACAACTAGATTCCATATTGTAATAATTTTTTTGGAAATTTTTAGTTGTCAAGAAAACATAGTAGGACGTTCATGCGATATTTGCAAGGCAGGACACGCGTATTACCCATCATGTGATACATGTAATTGTGACATACGTGGAACAATAACTGATATATGCGACCAAGATACTGCAGAATGTTTATGTAAAAAGTATGCTACCGATGTTGACTGCTCAAGATGCAAGGAGGGTTCTTTCAATCTCCAAGCGAACAATGAAGAAGGTTGTACGGAATGTTTCTGTTTTGGAAAGACAACACGTTGCCACAGTTCTGATTTGGTAAAAACAGCCGTTTCTGATGCGAAAAATTGGAAAGTAGTGGAGGTGAATACTACCGAGAATTTTGAAATGAAAGTATTAAATATTACTGTTGATAATCCGGACAGTACATACGATTTGAATGTTAATTTTGAAGGAGAAAACGTAACAGAAAATGGTACTTTGTATTTGTCGGCACCTGATACGTACCTTGGAAAGATGTTAGTGGCTTATGGAGGGTTTTTGAAGTTTAGGGTGTACTATACTATTGGACATTCAGGTGAGTTTCAATTACTAAATAAATCCTGATAAGATTATTGATTCAATTTTTATGAAGGTCGTGCTATCAGTGGTGCAGATATAATTCTACAAGGTGCTAACACTTATTTAACATATTACAATGTTGAACAACCGGCAGTTGCAACCGATTATGAGGGGTCGTTAGAAATGGTAGAATCTAATTTTGAGTTACCACTTGGTCAATCAGCCAAAAGAGAACATATCATGGCCGTTTTAAATGATTTACGTGGTCTTTACATAAGAGTGAATTATTGGAGCGCAACAGATAAAATAACGTAACATTTCCAATCATCATCTTTGTCAAAAATTCATCCAATAATTTATTTTCAGTATATCTGATGTGTACTTAGAAATTGGCGAGGAAAGTAAATATTATCCAAATGCCGGTAACTTAACGCTCGCTACATCTGTAGAACATTGCGATTGTCCACCAAATTATCAAGGATTATCTTGTGAAGAATGCGCACCCGGCTATTATCGAGTTCAAGGACCTCACGGAGGTTCTTGTTTACAATGTCAATGTCACGGACATGCTGATACATGCGATGTAAAAACAGGAATTTGTACAAATTGTCAACATAATACAAGAGGTGATCATTGCGAAATGTGCGAGGTCGGTTATCATGGAAACGCCGAACAAGGAACACCCATGGATTGTCTTATTTGCGCATGTCCCTTACCTATTGCCTCAAATAACTTCGCTACTAGTTGTAACGTCAGTTCGGATGGTGAAAAAATCAGCTGCGATTGTATTGAAGGATACTTGGGGGCTAAATGTGACTCTTGTGGACCAGGGTTTTATGGAAAACCTGAAATTCAAAGTAAGGAATCAAATAATAGAAGAAATTTTATGACGTTGTTTCTGATTTTAGATGAAACGTGTAAACCTTGCAGTTGTTCAGGAAATATTGACGCATCATTGAAAGAATCTTGCGATTCAGAAACGGGAGAATGTTTAAAATGTTTAAACAACACTTTTGGTGCTGCGTGTGCTCTTTGTGCTCCAGGTTATTTTGGTGATGCTATTGATAAAAAGGATTGTCAAGGTAATTAAATATGGATGATTCCGCAATTTACGACTAAGCTAAAACTCAAATTTCAAATGATTTATTTTGTTTTTAGCTTGTATTTGTGATCGTTGGGGAACAGAACGTTGTGATAGTTATACAGGAACTTGCGTCTGTAAACGAAATGTAATTGGAGAGAAATGTGATAGATGCGAAATCGAACATTACAATTTCGAAAGTGGTGAAGGCTGCGATCCTTGTAATTGTGCTATAGCTTCCGAAAGTAATCAATGCGATGATCGCACAGGTCAATGTAAATGTAAATCTGGAGTAACCGGAAAAACATGCGATAGATGTGCACATGATTTCTGGAATTACACCGAAACGGGATGTTCATGTATGATTTCGTCACTTTATTTTAATTTATTTATTTAACAATAATTTTGTAGCTTGTAAATGCAATAAGGAATACGCAATCGGCGTTGGTTGTAATCCACACACTGGGCAATGTGAATGTTTAACTGGGGTTATAGGTGAAAAATGTGATCATTGTCCACATCGTTGGGCTTTTATACCAGGGTATGGTTGTCATCAATGCGATCAATGTACTCACGCACTTTTAGACACTACTGATGCTTTGGCAGCTTTAATTGATCCCATTATTCATGAGTTTGATGTAATCTTTTTTAATGATTATTTGAGTTGAGATAGTTATTAATTTTCATTTTAGTCAGCTGATTCTGGATTTTTCACATCGCGTCGATTTATTCATATTAATGAAACATTCGAAAATCTGAAACCAAGAGTGTTAGCTTTAGATCCAGAAAACACAGATTTAGCTCCAATAATACAAGAATTAGAATCTCTGGAGCAAGATTCTCTAAATATGAACAGAAAAGTAAATAAAATATAAAAGAAAAACGGTTACTATAACTTTTTTTTTATTGTCAGGCAAACTATTCCTTGGATAACGGAGAAAAACTAGTTCAAGAAGCGGGAGCGGTGAAAAATGCAACTAATCAAGCTAAAAATGATCTCAATAAAGCAATAGATAATATTCACGATGCCATCGATACTATTGAACAACTTTCAAGAAATTTAACTTTTGGAGAAGGTAACTACAATTTCTATTTTTTTATCGAAGTCTATAACTTTTAATTTTTAGGCCCAAAAACGGAGGCTGCGAAACAAGAAGCTGAAGCGATCATGGACGAACTGAGGAAGCACAACTTAGCCCAACCAAAAGTTAGAGTAACAAACGCGACCATCGATGTTGGTAATATCATCATAGAACTGCGCACATTTAATGCTTCCATAAGCCCGTTGATAACTGGAGTGACAGATTTAGAAGACGATTTGAAGTTGTACAATGATAAACTGGATGATTTACATAATCACACACAATATACTATCAATAAGGCGAGGGAGGCTGAACTTTTATACGCTCAAAATAGGTAAGTCAATGTATAAGGCGTTATAGTAAATCGTGACCTTAAATTATGATCGGTAGTAATATGATATGTATAATTTAAATTAATTCTCTTCATTGATTATTCAATTACTTGTTTTATTATACAATATTTAGCACAAGCGAGAAAGTAAGAACAAACATACTGCATTTGTATCCATTAAAGCTAGACAATACCAGCAAAGTATGGATACAAAAATATCCTTTATCTGGATACATTTCAAAAGTAAAAATATGTTATGTTCTAAATTGAAATTTCATGAATAAATGCTCTGGTATATTTTAAATAGAACGGGGAGTTTCGAAAACAGAAATATGAATTAAATCTAACATAGTAAAACCCACATAGTAACGTGATATAAAAAAGCTCCTCTCACTGGCTTCCTATTGTCTTTAATAATTTTTTCACAATTACTTCTTCTAATGTTGAGGCCCACTAAACATATCAGACAGAAGCATCTAGAACCCTACCATTGAAATATAGTAGAGTAGATGTCATTCCAACACATTGGTAGTCCACGCGACTTCGTGTTAATCTAGAGAAGTCGTAGATTTTCCGTCATAAATTTAGACAAGATCGCTTGTTTTAGACTGTACAGTAATGAATGTAGAGCCTCGGAAGCGACTTCGGCTTAATCTAGAGAAGTTATACTGGGTTACTATAAGAGATTCATCCGTTTTTGAAACGTTGTATAACGATATATCAAAATAATCCAGTTGATTGGAGTATTCAAGTTCGCAGATATCTGAATGACGAACTTCCATCGCTGGATTACCCATCTTGATGCAAATGACCTACCTTTATTTCCTTGGCCGCCTAGGTCGCTTGACATAACGCCCTGTGAACTGAGGAATGGATTGAAGTATCCTTTAGATATATGTCGGGTGACCTATGCCGCCCTCATAGAATATTTATGAGTGTGCAAAAAAACTTGGAGAGAGTTTTTTGTTTTGGTTATTTTGATGTTTCATTCATTTGAATGAATCTTTTGTAGTAACCTTGTAGATTCTCTGCTCTGAGTTTAGAAGAAGTTGATTGTGTGAGTCGCTGCAATGTGCAGACCAGTTTTACCCTTCATCAACGAATCAATGACCAGTTTTTGCCTTATATGGTATTAATTCCAAAATTGTAAATGTTAACTTTGTGCATAATCTACACCTGAATCGGGTATTAATTGCTGCCCAAGTAATTGAATAGCACGCTAGCATTAAAAAGCTTATTATTATTTATCAGTAATTTTTATGAGGTTGCTGATTTCAATTTTATAAAAAATCGTTTAATAGCATTAGTTAAAAAGGCGTGTCATTTAGTTGTTTTATTTTACACGAGTCTTATATCACATTTTATCTATTGAACCCCTCAGTAATACGTTTTCGAAATTTTCTTTGAAAATTATTGTATGACGCTTATTGACCGGTGATGGATGTTACACAAACGAATATAAATGTTATTTGGTAGATATAGCAGTTTTTATAGAAATCAGTTTCGTGCTAAGTTAAATTATGCAAAAGATAACCTTCTTACCTGCTGCAGTATACATTCTCCAATTTTGGATGGATACAATATTAATTACACTGCAATGGATATATGGCGATCTTGGTTTAATCAGGCGAGGTCATAGATTCAGCACCTTAAGTTTAGACAATGTCGCTTGTGACCGAGTGGCTGCAATGTATTGACTAGTTTTAAGCTGCATAGTAATGAATGTGGAACCTCGGCCGCAAGCAATCTCTCTCTAATCGAGAGAATTCGTAAATTCTCCGTCCGAAGATTCGACAAGATCGGTTGCGGCTGAGTCGCTGCAATATATTGGCAAGTTTTTGGCAGTACAGTAATGAAAGTAGAGCCTCGGCCGCCAGTGACCTTGGCTTAATCTGAAGAAATCATAGATTTTTCTTCCTCAGTTTAGACGAGGTCGCTTGTAGCTGTAACATTTTTTTTCCTGCACCGGTTGCGAAGATATCGATTTTTAAATTGAAAAGCTTTCCTTTTGACACGGATAGTAGTCTACTAATCCATTCTCGAGGAATTACCTAATCTAAATAACACCGAACATTTACGCCAATATGAGCAGGAATACCTTCTTATTGACACTATATCTGATTCAAACTAGCTTCTTGATTTCAAATTAGCTTCAAACAGATGTTGAATTTCATTCAATAAACAAAGGTCTATCATACAGTTTAATCTATCATACATTACTAATCTATATCATACATTACTAGTCTATCATACATTTAATTTCGCAATCTTTGAGTACGGTTTTCGCACATCAAGTGTGGATTTAAATCATTACAACACCCTCACAATGTTAGGTAATACACTTAAGATTGAAGAATAACTTAAAAATTGAGGAATCATGTTGTTGTGTAGTTCTGCGAGACGATGCATGTGATTTTAAGAGTACTGCATCCAAGCTTTTGTTATCATTCATAACAGTATTTAGTCGATTGATTCGGTGTCCATCTTTTACGCTTCACAAGTTTGCCACTTCACTATAAGATCTTGTTCTATCACCGTACTCTCTCATCAATAAAAGAGTAATTCGCTTTCTTTCATTAAAAACCACCTTAGAGCAACAATATACATATGGTCGGTTAAGAGAGTTAACCTGCTAAGTCTACATTTTTGGTATTTTGAAGTTTTCAATATCTTCATGATTCAGGATAACTGGTGATATAAATGATATTTAAAAGTCCAAAGCGCAAAAACAGTGGAGTTAGCAAGTTAACACTCTTAACCGACGATATCGAACTCTTATTGAAGCGATAAATCTGAGAACATTGCGAACGTCAAGTTTGGAATCTCCGTATCCCCTTTAGACACATCCCAAACTTTGTACTACTCTGGCTACCTATTTAGGAGTAGACTAGGCGTTTTCAGACTCTTTTGTTGGTCTTGGTCGTTTATCAACAGGATATTTACCTTTATGTTTATATAATAAGGCAGTTTTGGGTATTTTGTATATTATATTCGCTCTTTTTATAGACATTTCATCCCTCCCCGCATTTAATACTGCCAAAATATCCTCTTTTGAATACTTAATCCTTTTCTTGCTTGCTTCCATCTGTCATAAAACCCCAATTATTGACACCCAAAAGTTCAAATTACTGACTCTTCCTAAAACCTTTAATTCAACAAGTATTTGCAATAATTTTGAGTGCCAGGAATTGGTTCGAAAGGGCAATTGCGTTATTAAAGTTGCTGTTTCAATAATGACAGATATTATTAATAATTACATATTTATAAATAGTATGCCATTGTCCATATTATTGACTCCTATGTCACTTATTACGAAAATACCTAAAATTCTCTATCTAATGTTAAAACCCACATTAAAATAAGGTTAAAAATCGCTATACACAATAAATAAATCATGAAAACAATACTTTAGGTTCATATAACTACTAAGTAACAAATTTATATACACGCTGATATCTTTTCTGATAGCTTTAGGTTAGATCTTACCGTTTTAGCACTTTTGTAAAACTCCAGCAGCTTAACTTTCAAATGTCTCACAAGATATCAGATTTATTCACATCAGTAATGATTAGACACTATTAGTTGATTTCCTTAAATTCTCATACACAACAGCTATGTACTTTGTGTTACAAGAAAATGTAAGGGTATTTTTGCCTTACCGAGATTGGATTGGATTTGCTGGAGTATAAATGGAGGAATTGCATTTGGCAACATTAGTAGACAGATTGTAAAATTAGGATACAACAAATTTAGTCGCATATTCGCCCTTATGATGTTGATTTGAATTACGAAGAACATAGATTTCTTATAGACACAAGAGCAGCAAGCAGTATATTAGACGTAAAGACACGAAAGAAAGCGTATTGTGGCTTATATTATTTCTTGGTGCAGACGAAGTTCAGGTACAGAATAAGCAACATAGAAAATCATCAAGTCATACATTAACCCTAAATTTTCCACCCTAAGTTTAGCTGAGGCGCTGCAATGTAATAACCAGTTTTGACTTGATATGGTATTAATCATTTATTGCAAAATTATTTCAAAACTCAAAAAAGGTAAACTCGATAGTTCATTTTCTTGAATGAGGGACAGAAATGTATTGATCAAAGATGCTAAACTTAATTGTAAAACCACGGCTCAATTAAGTACTATGGTGTTATAACTGACAATAAACTTACCTGATTTATTTTCTTCCTTTAGGATATATACATTAATAAATAAAACAAATTAATTTATTACAAAAGAAAATAACTTTTAATTCTTACAAATAGCTGTACTTAGTACATAATAACAACTTTAAATAAATAATTACATAAACGACTATTATTTAAGTCATTAAGAGGAGAGAGTATTTTTGAGTTAAGGCTAACAATCGTTCAAGTCTTGACATTGCGAACTTTAAGGTCCTCTTTTAACTTCCATATCACAAGTTCCATACAGGTGATGGCGTCTTCTGCGCTGTCATGACCCCCAATGTCGTTTTGAATTATTTTCTTCAAGTATTCACTCGCCAAAACCCGTAATGCTTTCTTATGTGGAAGTCCCAGTCTGTGCGGAAACAAAACTGACGTATCAATAATCGATGAATGAACAATTTTTAATGCTTTCATATCCGATTCTAAGCTGTGCCCAATCAGAATAGTCTTGGAATTACATAAATGCAATATGTTTGCCTGCACTTGCAGAATACTTGTACTGGTTCTGTCCATTTGGTCTTTTGTAATACCGGAAAATTGAGTGTTGTAGTCAACGATGGGATGTAGAGGTTTTACCAAAGATTCGTAAACAGTTTTTGAATCAGAATCAACGATTGTTACTCTTGTTAATTCTAATCCTTTGGTGGTGTAACACATTTCGCAATCTAAAGCATAAACGGCAGAACATCTCGGATCATTTTCTGACGAGGGTGCCATTGTCGTTTGGTATCCGTCGAGTTCCGCTTCTGTTTCGCAAACGTGACAAGAAGCGGTCGCGCATCCTGTTTCTTCGGTACTTTTACAACACAAATAAATCCGATCACCTCTTATCGTCCGCTTTTTTAACGGATGATATTGACACTCTTCTTCGTAAAGAGAAAACCCTTTCTGATCCACCATGTACACTTTAAAACATCTACAACATAATCTTTGGTTCGGATTTAAATTCACTTTTGGTACTGACTTTTGCGCTTTTATTATCGCCCTTCCGGGTACGGGACCTTCCCTTGGATAACCATGAATATCCAAATCATCCTCAGTTAGTAAATACCCAGAAACGTTTTGATAAAACTTTTTACCTTTGAACGGCGAGTTTTCTTCGCTCGGATCCGTATCATCAGGAGAGATAGGTCCTAAACCTTTTGCTTCGCGTTCTTGTAATTCTTTCCTAATCCTATTTACGCTTAACATTGCGGAATTTCGATAAGTTACAATAGCCGAGCATCGTTCAGTTACTTTAACCTCTTCGTTTAACGCTCGCGTGTAAGCATCTTGTTTTAATAAATACAATTTTAGGCACTCGTCCGCTAAAAGTGTTAAATACCTAGTTCGAATGTTTATTGGAATTTTTTTACTCTCCGATTGTAAAACATCGGGTATATCACTCATTGACATATCGGGAACGTGAGCAACTCTTTTAGAACCTTTACCGATTGTTTGCATAGGGGTTGCTTTTGAATTACTATTACGATTTGCGATTTCTGCAATTTTTGCTTTCGCTTGTTGCATCGAATAAACATTTTGCACTGGTGCTATTTTTTTCAATTTCGGTTTTAAAAGCGTATCACAGGCTTTAGGAACGTGGGTTGATGTTGATGATGTCCCGTTAATTATGTCATCGATTAAAGATGTATTCTTTTTTGGTTGTTCCTTAATTATTTCTTTTGTGGTTTTTTGAATTTTCGAACTTTTATTGGGTTCAACTTCAGAGGAATTTGATCTTTTCATGGTGTTTACTTCTGAAATAATATTTTTTTGCTCGTTATTGGCGTGAGCTTGCCGCGCTGCCTTTAGTCGATTCATCATCGTTAAAGCGGGATTTTGAGATGGTTTTGGAGGTTCGTGAGTGATTTTAGGAATAATATTATCTGCTCCTTGATGTGCAATTCGTTTTTTCGGCGTCGGAATGTACTCTTGTTGCATTTGAAGTTCATTTGATGGATCAAGTTTTATCGGTTCCGGTTTGTACTCATTGAAAATTCTATAACATTCCTCTTCTAATGTGGGATTTTCAAGGTCGTCGTCATCATCGTCTAAAAAGTCGTCTAAATCGTTATAATTAATCTCTTCTTCTTTAAATGTAATGATTTTCTCCTCGTTTTCGCTTTCAGATTTTTTCTTTTCACGATGTTTCTCTTTTGATCTACTTTTCACTTTATCTTTGGAAATTTTTGATTTGTGCCTTGATTTATCTCGATCGTGATCTTTCGATTTTTCTTTATGTTTACTTTTGTGTCTATTTTCATTGTGATCTTTATGTTTGTCTTTATGATGATCTTTTGAATCTTTATGCTTACTAGAACTTTTTGAACTTCTTTTACTATCACTACTTTCGGAACTTTTCTTATCTTTATGTTTACCACTGGAAGAGCTACCATGACTATCTGTTTTTGATCGAGATTTTTCGCTTTTACTTGATTTTTCCGAAGATTTAGAACTTGATTTTGAAGATTTACTTTTCTCGTCTTTTTTCCTTTTTTCTTTTGTACTTTTTATATCATTTTTATCAGGAGCTTTTTTTTCCTCAACTTTATTCACATTCTCATCATTTTTGTCATTAATAATATCATCGATTAGGGCACATTCACTCGTTAAATCAATATCTTCTCCAAAATCAATTCCATTAACATCTGATTCTGTATTATTAAGTTGACTTTGTTCTTCACCACTTTCATTATTGCTCTTGTTCTTAGACAATTCACTTATTGGGGTTGGTTTGTACGTAACGTTATTGAAGGTATACGTTGGAGGGTTCCGGAAAGACCTTTCTGTTCTAACTACAATATCTGGAACGTAACTAATAGGTATATGGCTTCTTACGTTTTGCAGTTGGCTCTTCGGAGTTGGATTATACGTTGGGACGTCTTGTGATTGCTCTGTACTATCTTGAGAATCTTCTGAGCACTCCTGGTTTTTCTTCCGATGCCGAAAATGACAATAAGGACGACCGCACGTGTTCTCGTAGAAAGGACAGTCGATGTCTTTAAAAAATCCGGTCGTAGGAAGCATTTTCACACAAGTTTTACCGGTTTATTTACATTAATTTTCACGAAAACTGGGACTTCTATAACCTAACCTCTAAACTTCTGCCATGACAGTTTTGTATCTACAAAACAAAACGAATTGCGCATGCGCATAAAATGGCGGTTAATTTAAATTTCTTTTCAATTATACCAAAAGATTAATTCAACGTAGATATGGTTTAAAATGTTTAATTTTATTTAAAATATTCAGAAATGTTTCAACCGGTTACAAAAAGATAACAATATCTTGTTTTCACATCCCGGTTCGTTGTACTTGAAGTTGAGATAAAACGGAATGAGGATGCCTTTCATTCTTTATCACTTTATTTTGTAGCTTTTATTAAAACGGTTTAATTTTTAAAATAAAATTTATTTGGATTAAGAAGTCGTTTTTTAATTGTTATAAATTAAACTATTACGATAAAAGTTACGTACACGTTAATATACAGTGTGTCCCATAGGTGAAACGACTTTTATAAAAGGTAAAATTTTTTCGATATTAATGGTCATATTTTGGGGTTTAGCCCTGCTTGATTAAAGACTAATTATGAAAATATTTTCAATTAAAAAAAAAAGTGAGCTTTGACAGTGAAAGAAAAACTCTTTTTGGGGCAGGTAAAATACCTTTTCTGTTCACAGTACGTGAAAATGTTACTAAGAAGTTTTGTTCAGAATGAAAAACTATGGACATAATATATACAAATCACAAATAAAAATCTTTCTAACATAGACTGTTATGAAAAAACAAAATTGCTTTCCTGTCAATGTTAATCTGTCAAACTGTAATTTACTAAACTTAAAGTGTTTTTAAATACAATGTTAACATTAGAGGAAAAAGTTTACGTGATTCAGTGTTATGGAACCGAGGGGAAATTGATAAATATGGTTATTGCTTTATTTAGTGAAAAATTTCCAAATGGAATTAAAAGAAGTACAAGTTGGCTATAAGATAAAAGAAAAAAATTATGATGAAACTGATTAACTGTTAATTATGGTTGACTGTTTTCTTTTATGGGCGAATAAGCACTTAATTTTTTGTGCACATTTCTGAATCTCAAAACAAAAAATCGTAATAAAGTACTATTGACGAAAGTAATAAACAATGGGTTTTATCAAAGTAGGCCGATGACTCCGAAAATTTGCATGTGGCCATAACTTTTCATTCTAAATAAAATTTCTTAGTAACATTTTGGCATACTGTAAACAGAAAAGGTACTGACTGACACACAAGGAGTTTTCGCTTCAGTGTCAATTCAATACTCACTTGTTTTTTAAAACTTTAAAATAAACTAAACCCCAAAAAATGACAATTAATATCGAAAAAGTTTTACCTTTTATAAGAGTTGTTTCACCTATCCGGGGACACACTGTACAAAAATTTTCGGTTTTAGATTTTGAGATATTATGACAATTTTCGTTTATTAAATTCGTTATTTTTTTCTGATTACAAAAATATGGGGTTAGATAGGTCTCTTTCTTATTGTTTTAGAATAAAGCTAAAAATAAACTTGTTTATCTACAACTATTGAATTTTCTATTCATTATACATTGGATTTTTGACGGGTAATGACACGCATTACTCATGACTGACAAAGTGTTGAATAATGAAGCCATTATTCCACAGTTCTGACACGGCCTACCAATCAAAAATTAAATATTAACAGAAATGACAGCTTTCTTATATTGAGGTTATGTCTGAAATGTCTATCAAGTTTATTTTTTTTCCTTTTTTTGATTTCTTTTTTCAAAATTAAATAGCTGTAGATAAAGTATAGTATTCAACTTGCGTATAATGGATGTTACCCACTCAGATTACAACACTCGCTCGCTTTGCTCGCTCGAATTGCAACTTCATCTTCGTGGGTAACAGCCGCCATTATACGCTTGTTGAATAATATACTATTGTCCACGACTACCTTATAATATATACCTTATGAATGAGTTTTCTAAAACAAAATGGTAGTCATTTTTCACGGAGTGAATAATAGCGGTGAATAATAATCATTATCCACGGGTAGCCATCTTGATCAGACTAATAATAATTATTTAAACGTTAAAAGTTCAAAAAACGTCAATTTAATTCAATTTTTTAGGAGTTTCTAAATGTTTGACATTAAAAAAACCTAAACAAATTCCTTTTTTCGTATGATTTAAGCATAAATTAATTCATTTTCGTAAAGAAAACGACGTTTTATAAAACTGACTTTAATTTTGACAAATTGTTGTGAAGTTGGTTACAGTTAGTAACATTGAACTTGGGTCACATTGACGTTTAACCTTTATTCAAAAATTTATTTAAAAAATTAATGTATGGAATCAATTTCAATAGTCATGGACAAAGTATAGTATTCTACTCGCATATAATGAGCTATTATTCACTCAGGTTAATTATGCCACTCGCTACGCTCGTGACATAAACTTAACCTTCGTGAATAATAGCCCTCATTATATGCTCATATAATAATATACTATTTTAGTGTCGTCAAAGAAATAAAATTTACAGTTTCCTGTAAATTACGGTACTATAACTAAAAATTATTCTACTAAAAATTGATATAAAATTTACTTTATTTTCTGAGATGTTAAACTTTTCGTATTTTTCGTAATCCATCTGAAAAAACAGAATTTTTAATTTGACACTTCAGAAAATTTTTGAATACAAATATTGCTGTTTATTTGAATTTAAAAAAAAATATATGAGCGCCATCTATCAATAATTTATTAAATCATTTAATAATAATATTAAATATTAATAAAAAATGTGAAATAATGCAATCTATTCCAACTTTTGTGTTAAACAAATATAAATTAAACAGTTCAACAACTGTATTTGTTTCAAATATCAGAAATATGTTTTTTTAATTTTTAATTATAATTTACAGGAAACTGTAAATTTAATTTCTTTGACGTGTACATACCTACAGGTGTCCAAATTTCGATGGGTTTGCAGGGTATCTCAGTTATTATGAAAGATAGAAAGTTGCGGTTTTCGCGAACCTGAGCTATTTTTTTGTAAAACTTACAATGGCGCAAACCAAATTTCAAAATTTACGATTTTCAGACACCCCTGTATCTCGGCTATCCGGAAACTTAGCCAAAAAGTAAAAACGGGTTCTAATAAATATAGGCTACTAATAGATTTTTTCACGTAGAATCCAATGGTACACGTAGAATTTATCTAGTCATCACGGTTTTTGAGTTATAAACACAACTAAGGTTTTTTTGAATAGAACTACCGATATTTTATTTTGTTATTGAACTTGATTTTTTTCAAGCTTTTCAAAAATACATAATACTCTATACTTACCTTTATAATTAAGCTCGAAATTTTTTAAAATACAATATTTTATAAGTAGGCTATGATAAATTAAATGATCGCGTTGCTAGGATGCCGGAATAAACAAAGAATTTTGAAAATACTATATTTTTACTACTATGTTACTTTTATTTAATTATTAATTTATTAATGGCTTATTAAATGTATCTATTAATTTTTGTTTACAAAAAACGAAAAATAATTAAAAACTAAATATGATGCAAATATGGCTTCAAGTTACAAGAATTGTTCAAAGTTGTTACCATTCTGATGCACACATTGGTCACAAAATTTAGTATTTAGTGGTTTTATTAATTGCATTTAGAATAGTTATGGGATGTTGCTGTAAATGTGAAAAAGCATCATTTACAGCAATTTTCAAGCTAGTATTTTCAATTTTGCAAGCTAGTAATAGTTCAAGTTACATATATATATATTTTACCTATTAATAGACTCTTAATAAAGTTTATGAAAACCTACGTGCTTTAACATAGCTACTGCGTGAAACAAATTGCTATTACAATTTCTTTATTTTATGTCAAGAGATTTTCTACAAAACGACACAACTTTAGAAAAGAATCTATATCACTACTTGAAAATATTGTGTCGTTGGTTTCTTATAAAGTACAGAAAGGTCTTCATTTTGTGCCTTTCCAAATTTCAAAAGGTGTTTGTTAAAAAAAATTACAAAGATTTCTATTCACGTCAATAAATAGTTATATTTGCTGACTACTCAGTCTTTTAAAATAAATATCTTGCGAAAGAAGAATAAAGAACAATTGTAGCTAACATTATTTTATTGCTGAAGGTATGGTGTAGATAGCATGAAAAAGAAACCTTGCACCAACGTGTGCCTTAAAAAGAAATTGGCAGTCAAAGATTACTTAACATATAATTGTGGATCTTACATTTATCCTTGTTATAGAAGTATAAATAGAATAGAGAAGACAATAATGTGGTATTGTTATCGCAAATCTATGTCTCAAGTTTAAATTATGAATGTCTGTCCTAAATGAATCTTATTTTATGAACAAGGTATGGAGGTTTCCCTGTGTGAAGAATCCTATAAATTAGACACAAATATTGCACACGGAATCTCTGTTTCATATTCAGCCAACCACTAGACATTAGAACGGGGGAAATGTGATCTCTTCGTTTAACGCCATAAACAAAGCGCAAGCAAGAGTTTTGAACAACTTATACCTTGCGCATTGATTCAAAAGACAAGCAAGAGTTAAAAATAACACTCCAATAATTGAAGTTGGACAAAACTAGGCTATCACATAATAAACGCTTGAGCTCAACGGACAAAAATTTACGACGTGAATACAAACACTTTACTCCCAAACTTTTAACCTCACCCGAAAAACGAATTGGTTTATCCAAAATGTTAATATGAACTCGAGATCCATTCACAAACCCACCACCTCTTTTAGAGAATATGATACCCTGAGTCTCATTAGGATTTATCCTCACTAATTTCCGTGCACAGAAGTGTCAACTAGCCAGTAATAATACGACACATAGATGGAAATTCATCGGGTTTAAATCTGTAATACAATTGAGTGTCATCCGCATACAGATGATAAGAACAATACTCAGGTTTGGAAAATAGATTGCGAGTGTAAATGGATAAAAGGACGGAGCCCAAAATAGAATCTTGAGGAACACCAGAAGAGCAGATCATAGGATCAGATAAAACAGAATTCAGCTTAACCGACTGAACCCTATTTCATAGATAGCTATCGAATAGCTTAACTGCATGAACATCCAATCCAATAAACTTCAAAATGCACAACAGGAGACTATCAAGGATGCCAAAGGCCTTAGTGAAATCAAATAAAATTAATACTGTGGATTTACCCTGGTCCAGAGACCTGAGTACATCATCAGTCAAATCCAGGAGCGCAGTAACACAACTGAAGTGTCTCCTGAACACGGACTGCTTAAGAGGCAAAATGCAATATATTTCCAGATAAATACTTAACTGCTCTACCATAAGTCTTTCTAAGATCTTTGAAATAACCAGCAGAATTGTAATGGGCCTCAGATCCTTACAACCAGTGATAGGAACAACTTTGGGTATGGGAACAACAAAACCATACTTCCAGCAATCCGGAAACACTGCATGAATCAAATAAAAATTGAAACGATGGACAAGCACGTTAAGAATACGGGGACAACACAGTCGAATCATATCCAGGCTGATTCCATCAGATCCAACTTCCGTAGATCTTAGGTTCAATCAAATCTGCTGGATACATTCAGTAAAGACCTCACTAAATGCAAACATGGACGAAGCAGGACGCATCCTATTATTGTTATAAAAAGCAAGAAGATCAGTATCAGGAGTAACCAAGAAGTCATTTACACAATTACTAAAAAACGTATTGATTATATTAGGATCTGATAAATGAGAAGGCAACGAAAAAGCAGAACATTTCAACACATTAAACCTTCTCAGGTTTTTGCATAAAGTCACCGACGATTACATTTTTTTCAAAAAATAACTTTTTTTCCCGGCGAATAGCACCCGTGACGTAATTTCGTAGAGTCTTATAATATTGAAAACTGCTGACTCCTAATCCTTTTATACTTAGCATTTATTGCTTAGTTTAAACATTTGCTTGGTATTCCAAGTGATCCATGGCAAAGCACGCTTTCTGGTTACCTTAGTAATCACAGCTCATGAAAATCAAATAAGGATAACATAGTATCATTAAAGCAATTCAGTTTGTCATCAATTGTATTAAGATCAAGGACAGTCTCCCAATTCATCAATTGGGAGGCCGATTTTATTATAGTAGACGCCGCGAGAGCTAGCAGAAAATCATCGTTTTCCGCTCTTACAAATGCCATACGTAGTAAATTAAAATTNTAAAAGGTATTTTTCTTACAAAATTGCCGATTTTTGCAATTGGAAGCTTTGCGTTCTAAACAATCAGTGCTTGTCTTCAACAAAGCATATAAATTGCAATTTGATTTTTGATATTACTTGAAAAAACAATTTTGTTTTTGTTCTTTTGTGTTTTGTCACGTTTTGCGTGTTTTCTCGATTTATCTGTTTTCTTCTATTCTCTTCTTATTTATAATATTTTCAGGAGTTTGTGAAAATCAGAGGTGTTTATCTAAACCTCCTCTGACAATCGTCCTAGTTAACTTGATTTAATTAATAGTATTTTTATTTTGCTATATTATTATATTTTTGTATCAGGTTTTTGTTATCAGGTCAATAAATGAGGTATTATTATTATATTATCATTATTAACAATAATATAATGATAGAAATACCACAATTATGGTACTCCTTCTTTTATTGAGCCTGTTTTGGTTCAAAAGTACTGTAGTTCCGACCAGTTCTGAAGCTTTCCGCGCATACATATTGCATATTAGACGTATGCACGGAAAGATTCAGAACTGTTGCGGTCTGTCCTAATTTCATTTTCAGTGCCTTTCATTGACTCCAGATTGACTCCTTCAGACATAGAATTTTTTGATTTTCCCTTTATAAATTTAATTTTATAGATTACAAGAAAATTGTCATTGAATACTTCTTATAACTGAGAAACCATCCGGGATCAGTTTAAGAGTCGCCTTACTGATGAAATTTTTGTGATCAAAAGATTATGATCAAATTGAGGTAGTCATGCAGCAGATATCAGTGATATTGGAAAGTCTAGTTGTAAATCATGACGAAAGAAAAGATATTCGGCGACCTTTTAACAGAGCTAAAAAAATAAGTCACTATGAACAATTAAAATGATATGTGGCTGATTATAACATGAATATTCGCACGGCCAAAAAAATCCACGGTAGAGATTCTAATGCAGGCCAACTTTCCTGGAAGGCTGATTATAACATCGCTAGGACAGGTATTTCCCTAGTGATAGGCACTATCGAATAAAAACTATCGAATAATTCGATAGTTGCTAAGTATTCGAATAATTTGATATAGTAGACGCCACGAGAGCTGGCAGTAAATCATCGTTTTCCGTTCTTACAAATGCCATACGTAGTAAATTAAAATTCACAAACCGCTAGAGAGTATTATGTGTTAGAAAGAGATAGCATTAGTTTAATATGTCTGCTGTACAATTCAAATAGCCACGTCGAAAAAGTACGTCTGTTCTTCTAAGGGATGTCACTCTATAATTATAACCTGAAATTGAAACGTCTTCTGAGCGTTGTCATGAATCTGTTGACATTTTTAAAAGCCGAAAATATGTTTTCTTTGAAAGGAAAATCATTAAATAAAAAATCGATGATGATGTTTATGAATGTTTTAAATTATTTTCGGCATACATACGCGAATGAAGGAGAAACTAGAAACTTAGAGAAAAGTGCTACTGCTTGCGGAATTTCGGTAAGAACCGCTTATCGAATCAAAAATCGATTTGAAACCGCATCATTAGAAGGAACCTCTGTATCCTCACCCCAAAAAACACGTAATAGGCAAAAAGTAAGGTCGACTGATATTGATGATTTTGTGAAAGACGCCATACGTCGTAAAATTTATACAAACCACAATAAACTACTTCCTGTTACTGTAAAATGTCTCAAAGAGGAGCTTCGTGAAAACAGTTTTGTCTTCAGTTTTTCAGCTATTAGCCTAAGACGGTGCTTGAAGTCTATAGGATTCACATATACCATTGACAATAATAGAAGAGGTTTGATGGAGCAACCGCATATTATGTCTTCTCGTGCAAAATTTTTGAGACTATATATGGAAAATAAGACTGAGCAATTATTTGATCCAGTTTTCTTGGATGAGACATGGATATTTGGAAAAGGTTCAGCAAGAAGAAGTTGGCATGATGACAAAAAAGAATCTATTAGAAGAAAAAATATTAGTGAAGGAAAAGTATATATTGTTCTGCATGCTGGTAACAGCGAAGGATTTATTGAAGGAGCAAATTTATTGTTTGCATCTACTTAAAAAAAAAATGTTGATTATCATGATAACATGAACGCTAATTTATTTAAAAAATGGTTTACAGAACAATTGCTGCCAAACTTAGAAAATCCTAGTATAATTATCCTTGATAATGCATCTTATCATTCAAAATTAATCCAAAGAATACCCGCTACTACATGGCGCAAGGAGGAACTTCAAAGTTTTTTGAAAGCTAACAACATTGCATATAATTCTAATATGCTTAAAATGGAACTATATGCGTTAGCTATAGGCTAAGATGCCCAAGTTACCCAAACGTATGAAATTGATGAATTGGCGAATGAGTGGGGCCATAAAGTGCTTCGATTGCCACCTTATCATTGCCAATTCAATCCTATTGAATTAGTGTGGGCAAAATGTAAACTTTTTTACAACCAGCATATTGGTAGAGATGGATATAGTGATGTTAAGGTTTTGGCAATGTGGTCAGAGGCTTTGTCACACGTAAACGCAGAGGAATGGCGTCATTACATTAATCATGTTGAGAAAGAAATGGAGTCTTTCTGGGTATTAGAAAAACATCTGGAAAGAGTGCAGGCGCCATTAATTATTAATTTAAATCAGGAGAGCAGTGATGATGAGGAGGATGATATGGACGACAAATCAGCGTCAGCATAACCTGCTTACCTAAATAATAATAATAGTTAAATAAATAAAATAAATTATTAAATATGAATTAAATATTAAATTAATTTATTAAATATTAAATTAATTTGTTAAATATTAAATTAATTTATTAAATATTAAATTAATTTATTAAATATTAATTATTATTAAATAAATTAATAATTACATAAACTTTATTATATATTAATATAAACGCCTTTTCGCTGGTTAACCTCTCCTATCTTTGACAATGTTTGACATATAACCTCTATTACTAACATAACCTACATTTAAATGTATGTGGTGAAATAATCTAAGGCCCACTTTTACCACCTCTTGATAAATTTATCCGATAGATAAATCCAGCTCTCAGCCAATGAGAGTGCTTAAAACCGCCGTAACCATGGCAACTATCCTCTAGATAGTTTATCAGGAGGATGGTAAAAGTGGGCATAAGTCGTACGTCCATATTTTGATTCATACGATTTTTAAACGTCAAGTCACTGCCAGCTCTCGTGGTTTCTACTATATCTATTTATTATAATAGTTAATAATAATGTAGATAAATAAAATTAGGTGTAGTTACTAATTGGTCTAAAGTACATTCAACGTTGTTCCATGGTATAATCCGGTATTGTATGTACTTTTCGATTGCGACTATAAATTTTATCACTTAAAGCATTGCATTAAACCAAAACGTTTGATTAATAACTGATAAATTTTTTAAACCTTCCCTACTCGATTATCAAGATCTATACGTCATTCGATTCGCCGAAATCACAAAATACCCCATCTCAATTCATATGTTATAATAAATTCATGTTAATATAAAACCTCGATTTCATCTAATTATCACTTTTTCGAATTTTTCTCGATATTTAAGCATTTGACAGCAAAAATATAAAAGAGCAATATTGTTAAAAATAAAATTTGTTACAACTTTGGCGAAACGAATGAGGTATACCTAGATCTTGATAATCGAGTACATCATTTACGAGTTATGACCGCTTAAAAAAGGTTATTTTTGTGTAGTTTCGCAATATTTTGGCGTTTTAGTGGAATTGGAAAGAGATTTCGAATCGGGCATTTCCACAATTTCCATAAATGATTATATAATAGTAGTTTATAAAATAAAGCTTAATAAAACGTTTTTTTTTATTACAGTCAAGATCGCATTCAAAAGAAATTTGAAAGTTCGTTAAACCATACTCAAGAAGCAAAGAACAATCTCAAAGATTCTGATGAACTTCTCCAAAATGCAACGTTAAATCTAAAGAATGCCAAAGATTTATACTCAAATTTATCAAATTATCTAGATTCAATCGAAGTTCCAATAAAAGATTTCGAGAGTATGAATGATTATACAGAACAGCAACTTTTTTCATTAGAGGATACACTTCCCAAAGTTTTCGACCACGCAGCAAATTTATCAACGCGAGCAGAAGAACTCAATAATATCCTACATGAAACGGAAGGAACGTCGGCAAATGCAATAAGAGCCGCTAATGCTTATAATGATATAGTAACCGCTATAGAAGAAGCATTTGCTGCTGCAGAAGAAAGCAAAGAATATGTTACTAACGCATCAACGGCAAGAGAAGCTTTAAATAAAAAAGTTGCCAATGCAACAGATAATGCTTCAGATTTATTAGATGATGTTTATGCAACTAAACAGAATATTCAAAAAGAACTTGAACCGAAATTATTAGAATCTCAGATTAAATCTCGAAAAATACGTTCTATTCATGATAAGAATGTTGAAAAAGTAAAAGGTATCGAAGATTTTATTAAAAATTACCCTTCGCAATCAGTCGATGGTCTTTTAATTGATGCTTTGGAAACTACAAATACAGCAGATGTTGAAACTCAGGATATCTTAAAACAAATCGGGAGCAATTATAATGAAGTTCCTCATGAAACCAACGCTGCTAAAGAATTACCAAAGAAACTTCATAATGCTAATCAAGGAATTGATCAAGTTAAGCAACAATTAAATGATATTAATGAGAAATTACCGGAATTGATCGAAAAATTAAAGAAATATCCTACGCAACCAAGCGACTTAGGTGCTATTTCAGACAATTTACAAGATAAAATTAAGAAATTAAATCGGCAAATCGCTTTAGCAAGAGACATAGCTAATCGAATTAAAGTTGGATTAAGATTTGAACGTAACACTACTTTAGAATTACGTAACATCGAATCACTTCCAGATCTTGCAACTTCCACTTACATTTCTGGATACTTCAAAACCAAAGAAAAAAATGGATTACTTTTATATTTGGGAAATGAAGTTGGAACGAATTTAAGAAGAACGACAACTGTATGTTTTATTTTTAATAATAAAAATCAAATCAAATTTTCACACTTTTTTTAGGATGATTTCATGGCTCTCGAAATCGAAAACGGTTATCCAGTTTTAACAATAGATCTTGGTGTTCGAGCTGAAAGAATAGTTAATCCGAAATACGTCGCTGAAGACATTTGGTATCAATTTATCATTGAACGGTAAGAAATTAAAAAATCGTTTATACATAATACATAACTTTATTATTAACTTAAAAATTTTAAAAAATTAAAAATTTTAGTACTGGGTTAAATGCAAAATTAATAATTCGAAAAGATCGCAGAGATGGCACGGTTGAAGAAACGGTGCAAGAATACGTTTTGGACGGACCTTACACAATTTTCAATGTCGATAGAAACCAAACAAAACTATTTGTGGGAAGTCATCCACCAGAATTCCGAATACAAGATAGTATCAGACAGAGTTCTTTTGAAGGTGAAGTTGAAGATTTGGTTATTGGTGATACACCAGTGTCTTTATGGAACTTTAATAGTGGATTTGAGAATCACAGGGGTGCTTATGAAAGGTATTTTTTAATATAAGTACGAAAGCTTTCTCGGTCGGTGTTAATTGAACTAAAACTAGAATTTATACTAGCACTATCACTAGAACTAATAGTAGCCTTAGTCTTTTTAAAAAGTATTTGACGTTTCGGATACGATGTTGCTTTAGAAGTGACGAAATCAGTAAGAGTATGACAAAAAAAATTAACAGTAATTACTCAATTGTCAACTAAGTTGTTTTTGTCAAATTCGGTTGGAGAAGGCTTCGTCGAATTCGCATTTTCCATGTGCGGCCGTTTCCAATTTCCCAGTCATCATGTATCACCTGTAGCTATAGTGCAAGAGGCAGCATTATATCTTTGTTTCAGATAAATAATAATTAAATTTGCACGTACCATATCAAATCCATCTGATCCGTCTGGACCATTATGTTCCATCAATGATACTATATTAACAACCCAAAATCCAACCGATAATACTTTTTATTCATCAGATTCACATTTGTTGATTCTGGATCTTCTTACCATCCCTAAGGTAATGCATAAAGTAATAGCAATAAATCTACTGATGAAAGTAATACCGATAAATCTTCTGAAGAAAGTGATAAGTAATCTGGTGATGAGGATAATTAACTTGCTGGGACTACAGTACATCCTCATGAAACCGCAACAAATTTCATAACAACTGATGATACTTGCGGAAAAGCAAGTAAAAATTGTTTAAATCATTACTACTCAGTAGTTAGCCCTAGAGATTCAAAGACTTTTTGTTGAAATAAAATCACCAAAGGAGATAGAATTTTAAACTCACGCAAGTTATTTGTGTAATTCTATGGAAAATTTCTATGAACATAAACCATCGATATTTTGCCACAAATTAGAAAGTTACTTTTGTTACATTTCGAAAAAGAGAACCACTTCTGAAAAAGTTGGTTTGGTGTTGAGATGCATTCACAGAATATAACACCAGAATTTTATGTTTCGATTTGATAAACGGTTGCCATAGCAAAACTAATGATCCTTAATGATATTTAGTTGTCAAATTAGCGATTAATACAATTGCATGTAAGGTTTGGATTAGTTCTTCCATTTTTTAAAACAAATTGACTATCTGGAGTAAAATGATTTAATCTGTGCAAGTTTCTAGGTAGTCTCGTAAAGCACTTATCTGTTAAGAATACTTTGCAAGAACAACAAAACAGAGCAATAAGTTCTCTAAGGTTAGCGCCAAGCTCGCTTTTTAACTAGCTATTGTGCTTCAACCTTATTTTAGTCATTAATAACATTGGAAAAACTGGTGCATCACGTTTAAGTTGACTTTTCATTATCTGTGGGAGGGTGCTCCGATGAAGACGATTGAGGGGGAAGCATTCACACAAAAGTACAACTGTCGCTATTACATTTGATTAAGTAGAAGTGAATTAATGTGGTTAATGTGGAGAATGAAGAAAATAAAGTGGCGAATCTAACGCAGGATAGACGAGATGCAATATTAGAGTTGGTGGTCAAGCATGACATTAACGCTAAATGTTAACTTTAAATTAATTAACATATACACGACATATACAGGGTGTTTTGGTGACTCGGGGAACAAATTTAACGACATATACTAGAGTGAAAATGATGACGATTCATGTAACAAAAAATTTTAAAAGTCCTCAAATTGCAAAGATACAGTCAAAGTTAAGAAATTTTAACACATTTTTTTGAATATCTTAAACACTATTTATGGTAAAGCGTTGAAATTTGATATAATGTAAACTAATATCACGTAAAATCATTAGGCAATTTTTCAGTTGGATCGGTTCGTGGGAACAATGCTATACAGGTGTCCGTAAAATTTGTATGCTCAGAACTTTTTTATTCTATCATAACCCTACATATATTTTTGCAGTTTCTAATAGTAAATTTAGTTTAAAAACTGTCCATACTCTTAGAGAATATTGATAAAAGCCACCGTTTTCGTATTAAATGCAAAAATGTTAGGCACCGAATTCAATAACACTAAAAAAATAATAATCTGATTTGGCAGTAACAAGTGAAAATCGAACTGAGCCGTCATAACTTTTGGTTCTAAATCTTTTGTGGATTTAGCTAAATCCATTTTTAATTTGCGGAAAAGTCACAAATGTTTTTCTAAAATCTATTGCCAGTTTATCGACAACGAATTTGTTGAACTAGTAGTGAGAAACAAACAGATACATTAGGAGTCACAATCATCCTTGCAGATCAGAAGTACCCAAATAGACTACCACAAACACAAAAGAATTTCGTACTGTTTTTGAAATCCTCCTAATAATGGGAATAAATCAGCTTCCTAAAATATATTATTGATACAGAAAGTAGAAGATATGACTTATATTCATTTCTTTTGCTGACAACGAGCAAAAAATAAGAAACCAAGATAGATTGGCAAACGTAAAAACGGTGTTGGATCCTTTATATGTTGGATCCAATTATCAGCAAACTTTTCTAGCAAGAAAATGGTAGTTTTTGATGTAACCATGGTACCATGGCGAGGTCGACTTGTTTTTCGTCAATACTTACCAGCTAAGACTCACAAATATAAGTGTGCACAACCGGAACCTGTAAACTTACAATTTTGAAATCTATTGTGGCAAAACCGAAGACACTACTGAATGATGGTCATACAGTGACAATTTTTATACCAGCGTCAAGTTAGCGAAATTCCTTTTGCAAAATAATAGTTATCTTTGTGGGACATTAGCCACTTTGTGGGACCGCCAATACATTTACAATGTTTCAAGAAAAAACATTAAGAAAATAATCGGCTGCTAATGTAGCACGGATGGATTAATCTGCGAAGAAGATAATGACTTCTAATGTATCTATCTGTTTCTCTCACTACTAGTTCAACAAACTCGTTGTCGATAAACTGGCAATAGATTTTCTAAGAGTCGCAATAGTCGGTAGGATTTAATTGAAAACCATCACATTCCTAATCTATCATCCTAATCTATTTTGGTTTTTATGTTTTCAGCAAAATGAATGAATATGAGCGATAAGTCAAATCTTCTACTTGTCATTTTTTACAAATATCTTCATTTCTGTTAGGAAGCTGATTTATTCCCATAATTAGGAGGAATCCAAAAAAATACAAATTTCTTTTATGTGTGTGGTAGTCCATTTACTCGTTCGAGAAACTGGTTGTCGATTAACTGGCAATAGATTTTGTATAGATTTTGTCGCAGTACGGTTGTGCTGAAAACCACCACTTTGGATGGTATATGGAAAAAACATTTATTACTTTTCCGCATGTCCCCCAAGTATCATCGGTTGTAATAGGATTTATTACGNTCTCACTACTAGTTCAACAAACTCGTTGTCGATAAACTGGCAATAGATTTTCTAAGAGTCGCAATAGTCGGTAGGATTTAATTGAAAACCATCACTTTCCTAATCTATCATCCTAATCTACCGTATTTTCTCGAATCTTATCCGCACTCGAATCTAATCCGCACCTCGATTTTAAAAATGCAATGATGGTAAAAAAAGTTGGTTTTCCAATGTAATCCACATCCGATTGTAATCCGCATTTGATTTTAGAGCATACAAAATTTGTAAAAAGGGTGCGGATTAGATTCGAGAAAATACGGTATTTATGTTTTCAGCAAAATGAATGAATATGAGCGATAAGTCAAATCTTCTACTTGTCATTTTTTTACAAATATCTTCATTTCTGTTAGGAAGCTGATTTATTCCCACAATTAGGAGGAATCCAAAAAAATACAAATTTCTTTTATGTTGGTAGTCCATTTGCGTACTTCTGATCTGCGAGGAAGATTGTGACTTCTAATGTATCTGTTTGTTTCTCTCACTACTCGTTCAAAAAACTGGTTGTCGATTAACTGGCAATAGATTTTGTATAGATTTTGTCGCAGTACG